AGAGGACATTGCAAAGAGAAGATGCCTGGCTGGATAGTGACTAAACAGTGAAAAGGTGGAATGGCATTTGTGTGATTCATTTATTATATAAGTCACACACACCAAATATTTCTGACCGTAATGCAACAAAACTAGAAAAAAGTGACACCATCTTTTCTTTTCTGTTCCCACATACAGTTTGACAAAACAGTAGCGTAGCAGCGATGGTGGTCAGCTTTTTGCCAACAATGTTGCTAAGCAATTAACAATTAATAAAAAAATGTTCTTTAATTAATTAGTTAATTAATTAATTAGTTTTGTCTTTTTGGTAACTTCTAAAAATGTCATGAGTCACACCCTATGATCTTTAAGGAGCTACAGTCGTATTTGGACTCTTCTTCTGTGGGCCTGTACAGTAGAACAACCCCATTCACAGGAACCAAAGACGGGGCAGGTTGATCTAAGCTACTCTGGAGCCCTTTCCGAGTGTCCACTATCCTAAACCCTGAGCATTAACTATCATTGTTCAACGGTTAAATCAACAATCCCATGAAAAGACTAAAACCTGTGTACCCAAAGCATGATACAGCTTATTCCCCAGTGCCATTGTTGTCCAAAAGTGTAAGAGCACGCAAGGTCTCAAAAAGCTTAATGAGGACAACACTTTGTAAGATTAGATATTACCGGGGCAGAAGAAATTCAAAGACATTGGGTCACAAGTAGGCTACTTAATGCACTTCACTACTTCACTGACCAAGGAAACTGCATCACGGAGTCAAGCACAGTCTACAATACTGCCAACTAGCAGAAAGTGTTCAAAAAAGGAGGCAAAATATCTGTGAGCGAGCCCTCCATCACGTGGCAATTTCATCCAGACAGCGCCCACAAGATCTTCCTGGGAATAGTACACCTGGACCAGACCCGGAAGTGTCTTTATCTCCTTCAAGATTAATTAAAAACTTGGAAGATTTGTACTGGTGGCAGATGCTGATCAGTCTTTGGGTCGTGGGCAGCAGAACAGACGAGGTGGGAGGATTCACAGAGGATCCTATGGGATACATAATCAGAGAGGACCTCATGGCACAGACCTTAATTTATATCCTGGAGGAGAACGCATTACCTAATTGGAAAGCATCCCATTGGATGCCAACAGGGTGCAATAAATCAGCCGAATAATTACTGTTGGTTATCAGGTTGTGCAAAAGTCGAAAGCTCCGGTTCAAGATGTTTTTTTTCAAATGCATTGCAGCTGGATGGTCCTACATTTGATAAATAATTCCTTACAATGTGGCATTTTATTACATGTTTACACTTGCATAGTGCTTTAATGCACCTTCCTGATGACACATTAGGAACTTGAGATTGAGAAACACTGCCAAACATGAAATACATAAAATGGTTAAAATATTGACATTATCTTGGTTGACCTGTATCGTTTTCATTCTGAAATCACTTCTATTGTACAGGAAGCTTGCAGGCTCTTTTGTTCCCCTGGCAATCACTGCTGTTGTTGTTACATTTTACTCAACTATTTTTACCAGTTACTTGGGTTACGACCCAACAGTCAACCAATGACCAGAAATGAGAATCAAGCGTTATTGCACCAAATAACGACATATTTAATTTTTTATATGTTATAGGGGCTGTGCATAAACAAATAGACACTCAGTTGCTAATCTAATGGGTAAGTCTAATTAAAACTAATGCAGCCTGATACAACAGCCCTACAATAAATCTTACCTTTATCAAGGTTATAACATTCCTATTCATTTTACTGACCAGAAAGTCATTCATAGACAAAGAAATATATCGTCCTACATGTGACGTTACATATGTGTGGAGTCAAGTAGACCTCAGACAGAAATTGTTATACAACTTAAATAAAAGCATATACAACACATGAATGTCCATTCTATTTAACCATATTAAAATATGGTATATAAAAATTTAAAAAAGCCATGAGTATCATAGTGATAAACCAATGTTAAATATGTTTTTTGCCTTGTTAAAGAAAGTTAATTTAAAAAATACCAGCCAGTAGTGCTAGATATAATGTAATTACAGCTTTCTTTTATCTATATTCACAGTATGTGAATGCAAAGAAGCTAACTAAAGTAACTAACTAAAGGCAAAATAGCACCAAACACTGTATTGTGTTGTATCGTATCACAGATAGTGGGAATTTACTCATCAAAATATTGATCTCAGGTTATCAATACCAATATCATCACATTTCAACAATTTAAATGATGTGTGTGAAAACACTTCATGTATCTGAACACTGCATCTTAGTCAAGTTCTGGCACAATATTTGCCTTGTTTGTGCATTAAGACGTATTGGAAACAAATCAGATTGCCATCTGCATCTGCAAAGGAAAGATCTGGAAAAAATAACTGGTTGAGAAAATATCTGTCTCCTCTTTTCATATATATGTAAAATGTCTGCAGATTGATGTGATGATAACACTTGTATAAATGGCAGCTGGTTAAATGGCAGAGTCTTTATTAGGCAATGATTCACACCCTGCACAGCCTTGCCTGGGGGTTGCATTATTATTAAGCGGAGGAAGTTCAACACCATCAACAGGAAAATGAGTTCCACTCCTGAGTGCTGTTGAAATGCATCATCTCCATTTGTTTTTAAACCTTTTTTAATCCATTGAAGAGGTGGCTTAGCGTGCATGTTCTTCTTGTTTTTAATATTCATATCCAAGAATGACTCAAATTCACAAGCAGGAGCTGTGCAGAGCAAAAACACCACCTGGAGAGGAAGGCCACATGGAGGTTAAGTGGGTTAAATCTTATGGGGGTTGTGGCTCTTGCCTCTGGGAGAGACAAGAGAAAATGACTCCCACTTCAGTGTCCATATTCAGGTTTTAAACCTTATTTATTATTAACGTCTTTTATGTACTACAGTGCCATTGTACATTGTGTAGAAATGTGGTGTTCTTCGTGTAAATATAAAGTTGAAATCTTTCTAGACATTTCAGGTTATTCATGCAAAACAAAAATTACAAAAAATCACAGAAATACCATTAAATATATAATAAAATGCATGACAATAAAATATCACAGAAGTTAAATAAGTCTGTGAACCACCTGAAATGAGCAGTGAAGGGCTGTTCTCAAGTGTAAATCAGAGGAATAACAGTGTAGTGAGGAAAGGCAGTTGTATCTAGGGAAGGGTGGAGGAGCATTGGAGCTTTTATTTATGTCTGCGTGTGCAACATGATGTCACCTAAAGATAAAGGGTTGACTATAAACATCAGTCCTTTATGAGCACCTTTGCTTTCATACAAAAAACTGGATACACAGCGGCAGTCCACAGAAACAGTTAATGTTTTCCGTGAAGATGTGAAGAGTTATGATACATGACAGTTACTATACGTGACAGATGTGATGTTGTGAACAAGGCGCCTCTTCATAACTTCACCCAGCATAATAAATCTTTATGATTTGTTACATGAGTCTGTTGTCAGCTGTTTCTTGTTGCAGACCTTTAATATCAAAGATTTATGATCAAAGGAAATGTGGATGATCTGCTTTAATTCATGACTTTGAGATACTTCAAAGCATCCTGACACGAGTGTGCAAGTATGATTTCTTTTTTATTAACATTATTATTGTTTTAGGGTTTGACCATAAAAAAAAGGAAAACATTTGACTTTGACCATGTTTAAATGACGTTGTTCAAAGGACGGAGGCAGTAAACTGAAAATAATCACAGCATGAATCATGATTTATATTTGCAACATTAACTCATACATCTTAATCAACAAATTGCTTGATCACTCTGCATGGTGCCTGTGCTAGTTTGCACTTGTTTGCAGATGTGCAGGTAGCCGTCAGGTAGCTGATGCCATTTCCAGTACTCCACATGCTTTTATTGTAAACTTTTTGTGTTATTTTTTCTGTGTTCGAACTGAAGTTTTAAAAGTAAAAAAAAAGAAAAAAAAAGACTGTGTATTATGAAATGAAACATATTAATCAATGTCTCTTACAGCAGGCACATGTGTTCTCCTCCTCCTTTTGTCCTTGAGTTAACCTCCAACCACCTATTCTGTGTTCGTCCTTGTATATCACTCCTTGATAAAATCAATACGGCTATAGAACAAGAAAGATGAATGTGTATATTATTGTCACTGAATAGGTGATTTTCTTTTCAACAGCACCTTTCCTTTTATGAAACACTGTGTTTGTGTGTGTGCGTGCGTGTGTGTATGTGTGTGTGTGTGTGTGTGTGTGTGTGTGTGTGTGTGCGCATGCATGTGTGTGCGTATGTCTTCTCCATTCGAGGTGTAGTCATGACGTCCAACCAGTGAGTCAGGTCTTCCAAATGAAGTCTCCGCAATGGGATACACACACACACACACACACACACACACACACACACACACACACACACACACACACACACACACACACACACCTTGTAAACAAGAACCCCAGAAAATAATCCAATCAGTCAAATCAATTTGCACACTTCACCACAGCTCTTCATCCTTTTGAATAGGATGCTGTTTTGAGCATTAAGATGTCATCGATTGACCTTTGAGGGATTTAGAACAGGAACTGACAAGAACCCACCAATAAAGAGCAGATGTTTTGATGCATGTACGATAATGTAAACAAGCACAGAGCACAGAAACATCCCAGTAATCTGTCATTATACTTAATTTAAGGTTGCACCCAAACCAGAGGAAGAAGCAGGAGGAGGGGAGTAGCAAGTTATCAACTACTTCACTAATGCTTCACCTATTGTCTGGTGACATGAGCAGCACCAGTGATTAAAAATGTGTGGGTGGTCTGTATACCTGCCATACACACAAACACACAAATACACCCTCCTCCCCATCCAGAAAGGAGCAACAGACCCTTTTACCTCAATCACACCCCAAGGCCTCGAGACTCGGAGCTCCGTACTTCATGTGTCTATAAAAAGAGCTTTCCTCCTCTAAGGAAGCAACAGCAGACCCTCTCCTACTGATCATTTCATCACAGAGCACAGAGAGAGGAGGAGAGGGATCACTGTGAAAGAGTCACCACTCTGGAAGATCTGTGGACAAACAGAGGGAGAAAAACAAGAGGAAAGGAGAAGAAAGGATTTGGAAAAGGTAAAAAAAAAAACAACAACAAACAAACTGTTTGTGTGTTCTTGTTTTTTTGGCATGGATCAAAATTGTGTCTGATTGTTCGTTGCTTCTTGTTTTTCTGAATGAATAGGCATTGATGCACTGATTAAACACACTTGCTGACTGATTGATTTAGACTTTTCTGACATTTTCTGACATGTGCAGCTGCATTTACTCCGTCAAATTTCCTTAAAGTGGATCTATATTTCATGAAGACTACACCTCAGCCTTTTGAAGAGTATGCATAGTTGTCTTAGGTGACAATTTAATCGCTGTCTATTAATGTATATACCAATACAAACACTGATCGAACTTAGAAAACCTTACATTACTCTGTATATCATTAACACATAAGCTTTCAACCTATTTTAATTGCAGCTCTCAGTCTCTTTTTTAACAGAGTATGTCTGTGGAGGGCTGAGTGAGTCATACTGTAGGAAGAGTGTTGTCAAGTCTCTGCCAGAGTTACAAAGGCGATGGCCCACCAAGGAGTCACTCCTTAGAATAATGGAGAAGGGAGTTAGAAACAACAAGATGCAATTTCCCAGCAAAGGAAAGAAAATGGACTCACATCCTCTAAGATATTCAATGCACCAGGATGAAAAGTTGAAAAAAAGAAAGAGGTGTGGGATTTTCTAAAGGAGCTTTAAAATGTAAATATCTGTCAAATTAGTGAAATTAGATGACTAGGATGGATGTCAGATTTAACCCAACATCTAAAAAGTTTTGTTTCATTTCTCTCTGTTATGTTGCTTCTTAAAACAACCCTCCTAAATAAACGGTTTAAGATGGGGAGACAGAGAGAAGAGGACAGAGAAGTGATAATAAACATAGCAACAAAGAGATGAGGGGAGGCATTTGCCTGTTAGAGATGCGTCATAAAGGAAATCACTGAATGCTGTCACCTATTGAATTGCAGTTTGTACATCCTCCTTATCATAATGAATATATAGTTTTTGAAATGTGTGGGACCTATATGAACTGCGCCTCCTTTTTGTTTGCTTGCAAGTATCCATGGATATGCATTGATTGATTTCCTGGGGGTGGAACAAAATCTCACATCACCTCACTGACCCTTCAGTGCTTGGTTGTAGGTTTCTCTGTTAGTGTGACAGTTGAGGAAATTCAAAGCCTATTCACTGATGTAATTATTCACTTAATGACCACCATCATCTTTGTTCCGTGCCCTTGGACAACTCTAAACAGACTGCTGGATTCAGGTTTTTTTTTCTTTTTTTTTTTCTGGCAGGGTTACAACATTAAATTATTGACCACTTGAAAAATATATATATAGTATATCGACACAGTTTAAGGATTGGTATGGAAATTATTGGTGTGTAGGTAGAAATGGGGTCAAGCTTGTGTTTGATTGATAATGACACTGCAAATCAAAGTAATACAATATTTTTTTTAGACTCTCCCCATGACTTAGAAAGAAAATTGCCACCACCGCCTCCACCCTAATGTCAAAACTCAGTCCAGATTTCAGATTTAATATGTTATTAGAACAATATTTTTTACAAAGCCCAAATCACATTAGGGCTGGAATCTGCAATTGCCAGAATTATGGAAAACAAATCAAATGATTTCCTGAACACTCCAGCTGCTCTGAATTTTTGAACCAAGAGCAAAGAAATGAACAGTTATTACCACCTACATTCAGTGACATTAAATAAGTCCTGATAGGCCCTGATGGATTAGCACTGTAATAATTTAAATTAGATTCAACTATTACACAATTATAGGTGAAAGTTATAATCCTTATGATTTCAGCCCTGGTTGTTTTGGTGACTCCCGTCATCACCATGGTAACAGTGTGGTTAAATGCCACAGCAAAAACCTTTGAGCAGCCACTTTGTCAGCTGGTGTTGCTATTTACAGTGCAGCCAAACAAACTACCATTGTTTCAATAAAGAAGTCAACCAATGAACTGACATTCTTTATCATGTCATGAGCATGATCATGCCGCACATGGCACAAACAGTTTTCCACCAAACAGCAGGGAACAGAAGAATTGGTTAGTTTAACCACTAACGCAGCCAGTTACAAGCCAACAAACAACAACAAATAAAGGATTAAAAGATGCTCACTATGCTAACTATGCTAACCATGCTTACCGTTTTGATTCGTCTGCTAGTGGCTGATTTTGGCGCACAACAGACTCCTCATTCGGGTCTGGGTCTGACTGAAGTTCAAACTTGAGTGGCTGATTCTCTTTGATATTTCCTCACTAGACATATTGATAGGAACTGCTTTTTCACCAGTCAACCGAGCTTAAGCAGCGGTGGTGGACGGCCCGGGGCATGAGTCCTGATACAGAATTTCAGCAATTTAGCATAGATGTGCTTACAGCCCCTTTTCAGAGTTGTAAAAGAATTGTAAATTGTATTAAACAAAATTAATCACAGCAGAGTATTTTGCAAACTTTAAAACATGTCTGGGGGGGGGGGGACTTTAATATGAAGCAGATACATTAGGAAATGTTGGTTTTGCATTGGCAACTTAATGCAGCTTTTTAACACTCAGACAGTGAGGTTAATATCAGTGAGATAAAATTAAACAGGATTCAAGACCCATTATCTTATTTTATCTTTCGTGCAAGTGAAGGTCAACTCAAAGCCAGCACAGAAATGGCAGACTTCTCCACTAACAATGAAAACTTGTACTAAGGTAATTACCGAATGTAAAAACACTAAATCCTGCAGCAAATATTTATATTATTTTATTATATTAAAATATAAATCTGAATCCCAACTTATAATTGTTATATAGTTCCTTAAAAATCTTCTATCTATCTATCTTATACAGGATGGTCTCCATAAACAGTGTCAGATCTTTATCAACCACTTTTAAATAAGACAAACATGCCACTGGAAAATAAGACCATATATTATAACACATGATGTTGGCTGGAAGAGGAATGCTGATAATTGCTATATGAGATCACAGTTATGATTTCACCATGACAAACACAACTATAAATCTACCATTTATCTCAAAGACAATGTTGAAACATGTTATATAAGGAAAGGAAAGAAGTGTTACGTAAGTGCAATGATCTAGAGACACCTACTATATTTCTTACTAAGTAGCAATTTATTCCAGGGTAGGAATGACTAAGTGAATATTTGAGCCTTTTGAGACCGTCACTTTATCAAAGCCTTTTCTGTGTTCTGAATTTCCCTGCCGTCACATTACTTTCCTTTCAGCTCAAAGCCTCGCTTGTGTTTCTGTCTTCCACTACAGGCTGAAGATGGTGTGTCTATGTTGGTTGTTAGTGGTGGTGATGGCGTACGTGTGCATTCCTGGGTTTGGATCGGTGTGCTGGAACAGCTCTATCTGCAGTGACCTGAGCAACAAGGGCAGGATACTGGTAGGTCAAACTGTCTCCTCCTTGTTGCTTTCTTTCTGTTTCCTCTCTGTTACACTTCATTCATAGTAGTTTAAAGTGTTTTAAATAAGAGATGGATACAACAACAACAGACTAAAGAAAGAAAAGACAAAAATAGCACAAAACATAACTAAAAGTAAAGTTCATTGTTGACCCTAGAAGCAGCAGTTTACACAATAATCTCTTTTCAACGGGCATTAAAAGCTGCTCTGGAGTTTTTGATCAAATCACACAAGCTTCTCCAGAATCCTTTCTGTATCTTTTGAGCTCAACACTTTTGTCAACATGGATGAGAAGTCCTTGAAGAAAGATGGAAATTTTAAACATCTACTTTCCCATTAGGACAAACTGTACACTGCTACACAGCTACTACACTGACCAAGGTAAAATAGTTTTGTTGACAAAGAGATGTTTTGTGGAGAACTAAAAATAGCCTCAAGGTTAATGAAAAAAAAGACAGAACAAGCAGTTTTCCTGTGTTTGGTTTAATACTTTTTTTTTTAACAAGTGGCAGTTTTGTCTCGGTGGCCTGCAGGATTGACACTGTTGCTGGTTGTAAACCATTTTAGTGATTTACAAATGAACAGCTGATAAAACTAGAGCCCGACTGAGATTGGATTTTTGGGGCCGATACCGACATTAGGGAGTAAAAAAATTATCATATATCAGCCGACATATGTATATATATACATATATATATATATATATATAAACACTTGTGAAAAAGATATGTAATGAAAGCAGGATATTTTACAGTAACAATAAACTTTATTGTCCAAAGTGACATCAGTGAACTGAAACGGTAAACTTCACTGGGAATTAAATAAAATAACATAAAAATGAATAACTACAAATTAAAAAACATAAGAACAAATATGTTATAATATATATATATATTATATATATATACAGTATATACTGTATATATATATTTAACTTGAATGAAAAACAAAGGATCAAATATACATAAAATGGCTTGCTATGTAACTTGACTTGACCCGAGCATTTCCACTGCATAAATGCTTCTTAATAAAAGTATTCATATCAGCGCATATCAGAGAATATAGGAGCCGATACCGATATATTTGCGATAGGCCAATGTCAGCCGACCAATAAATCGGTCAGGCTATAGTTAAAACTGGAAAGATTAGTCAATTAATCAATCAGCATAAAATTAATTAGTAATTATTTTGATAATTAATTCATTTTTAATCACTTTTCAAGTAAAACATGATGCATCTGATTCCATGACAAGATGAAGATTTGTGATTTGGGCTTTGAGTTCAATCTTTCATGCTCTTTGTCTATTTCAGTTTTATCTTTAAGTCGCTGTTTGAATTTTTTGCACAGTGATTTTCTCAGTAGATGTAGTCAGGGAGTCTATGACACCGTACTCATTTGGTGATTCAGATATGTAAATTTGATCAGAATCTTTCTTGTTTGGCATCTACGGGAATAAATCAGCATCAAAGCATCAAAGAGACAGTGCTCATTATTGTATCATCATCAGCTCAGCTTAACAGCATTTTAAGATGTTACTGGTGCCTCTGTGATTTCTTCCACACAGGAGTGTATTCAACTCTGCATGTCTCTGATCAAGACTGAATTGCCAGAGGTCAGTACATTGGCCCTGAAGATAAATGATGATGACCACTTACTCAACATCATTCTGGGCACACTGGCTTCCTCTGAAAACAAGCTATCAGAGTCAGATCTTCAAGTCCACAGCGACCGGCGACGCTCATATTTAATGGAGCATTTCCGCTGGGGCAAACCCCCTGGAGACAAGATACTGGAGCCAAAGCTGAGGGACCACGGTGACGAGAGACGCTCCTATTCAATGGAACATTTCCGCTGGGGGAAACCCTCTGGCCGTAAACGCAGGCCCATCAAAGTCTTTGCCTCTCCTCTGGAGGGAGGGGGCTCTTCTGAGGGCAGCTTTCCCCCTCAGGCTCGCAGGCAGCTGAACAGTAATGAGGATGAAGGAAAAGGAGACCTGAATCAAGAAAGTCATCAATATCAAGAATTGCTGAGGGCGAGGGTCAGCTCCAAGTCACACGTCCTGTTGAGCCCACAGGACAGAAAAGATGGGACCTATCGGATGAGTCACTTCAGATGGGGGAACCCACCTGCCTCCAAACGTAATGGCGGCTTAATGAAGCTGTGGGAGAAGAAAACCTTAGGGGAAACTGGCTAGGCTCTGCAGGAACATTATGGTCAAGGATGTGGAGAGGATAATGGGATGAACTGGAGAAGAAGGGGAGGGGGTTGTTGAACAAATCTAATAGCCAATGCATGTTACTTGACTTGAAAGAGTTTTCTTTTATTGGTTTTGTTTTGTTTTTGTTTTTTTGTTGTTGTTGGGTTTTTTTTTGTGGGAAATGTCATTACTGATTGATATGTTTTGAAAAAAGACCCAAATAGAGAAAGTGATTCCAGGGCAAGAGGTGGGTAAGAAGGACGCTATTTTAAAAACCATCGCAGTTTATTTACAAAGTGGTATGTTTTTTTGTAAAGTAATGTAATATTAAAGATCATTCTGTTTGTGGCAAACAATAATGGTAATTGTCTGACTGAGTTCCAGTTTTCGTGTATGGGGTCCCACTGCCAGTCAGGTATGGACTGGAGAGTGGCATAGAGGGATTTACAGGAGGGGGTACCATGAGTGCCCTGCTAAGCAAGAACGAAGACCCTTCTTTAAGGGTTAGTTGTTGTTGTTGTTGTTGTTGTTGTTGTTGTTGTTTACGACACATGATGATGATGACAGCTGGTAAATAGCTCTCATCTGTCCTCTCTTCTTCCCATTTAACGACTATCTTGTCCAAGGGGATGGAGAAATCTCATCCTCTTCTCCTCTGCTTCAGCTTTGCGAGATCGTGTGTGGTGACGTCCATGTATTCTTCACTTGTCTCCTCTGGTTGAGTCTTCCTCTGCCAGCCCATCCTGGTTCACCGGGTCCTTCACGCTATCCCACTTCACAAAGAACTGAAGAAGGAAATAAAGACTCAACTTTGAGCTGCCATCTTTATTGAGCACAACGCAAAGAATGACACAGCCACACAGACTTATATAGTCTCTGCTCCACACATGACCCATTTTAATAACATTCTTCTACATTGTATGTAATGTTATGGTTAATCTATCCCCTCCCCAGGCTTTTGGGGACTTTTCTGTCAGTTCCTCCAAACCAAGTGATTCATCACTTCTGGTTTGTCTTTCTCCATGTCAACAAATATCATAGAATTAATCAGCTGACAGCGCGATCCAAATCAGTTTTACTCTTTCTTATATAGTGTATTATTTGATATTCAAAGTTTGCTTTTTAGGCTAACTAGTTATCCTGTCAATAACTTTTGGATTCCACATGCTGTTGAAGACCATGAGAGAAAAAACACTGCTAAGATACAGTATATATGCTGAATTCAATTCTGATAAACCATCCAGTCACATGACGACACATTAGCAGGGAAAAAACTATAACACAAGCATTGATATAAGTTGTGCATCAGAAAAAAACAACTTCCCATGCAGGGATGTAGAGAATAATAACTGGTGAGGAACTCTGAGGACTCAAGGTTAACAACCGTCATCCGTTTGCTGACAACTTTTTTTCCGTCCCTGCATAATGTTCCACAGCCTCCAGTATCTCAGGCAGATCACATCACAAAACAACATTCGCTTTTATAAGGATTCAACTTTCATAAATAAAAAAAAAATCTGAACCAGACCAGACCTTATGGTTACAGACAAATTTATTGTACAACACAGCAACACAACTAGCATGCAAAGTCGGGTTTGACACTCATAAGGCATTTTCTCCATGTAAAAGCTGCCTTTGTCACTAGGTAATCCAGTTTTTAAAGTGCAAAGTTCACAGAATGTATAGATTTGACCTACAGCACTACATTGTAAACAGATCTATTAACCAGACATGTAATGAAAAAAGTAAGATTGGATTACCGTCCGTTAATATTACACTATGCATGACAGCAAGCAGACTGATAGATTTACAGGTCTTCACTGCGAAGTTGCAAGATGCTGAACAGACAGTTTTACAAGGTGTCACTGGAAGGTTTAGACAGCTGCACAATGCTCTTAGCTTGTTCTTCATTAACGTGGTGGAAAGGGACAAAAACTGTAAACTGTGTCTGAAGAGTTTGGTCTTGGGCAATGACAGTAAAGACACACATCTGCATGAATGTTCAAAGAGAGACATGAACGTTTACACTCACTCACACACAATCACACTTTGTGTCATGTCAGGGCTAACATGAACAGACAATCTGATACACTGGCATGTCTGGACATAAATATACATACAGGCAACACTACATTGTTTAAAAAAAAAAAAAAAAAAAAAAAAAAAAGGATAATAATAATAAAAGAAACGGAGCCAACTGGACTGTAACAAATGACCATCAGGAACAAACCAGACACCGTCGTCCACATTAAACAAGATGGCTGCAACACGTGCCAAGCCCAATGCAGTTAATTCACAGAAGCGCAGGAGCAGGAAGGGCGGTCCCTTCAAAACATCACGAAACTGAACCATCACAGCACCACCACAACAACAGAAGGTACAATTCAAAATTACACTAAAGGCTCTGCTACCAACAGTTGGGCCGTGTTAGCCTGGCTAGTGCCACATTATTGCCATTATACTTTGTTTTGATACCTCTGAGTGTGTGTTTGGGAACACACAAAATGGCTTTTTAACTTACTTAAATCTTGCTGTATGAAAAAGATGTACTGCTTGGAGGCTGCCACGGCAGCAGTATAGCATAAAAACAGAGAGAAAACTCAGGATGCAATGACAATACATATCAGGATGATGGCGCTCAAAACTGTCTCGAAAACTGTGGCTAGTAATGAAGTTGACAGTAACTTCTAAACCTTTTTTTTTTTATCAGATGGGCTCATTAAAACTTCACTAGTGTGATCCACTGGCTTCAAGATGATGCTGATTTCTACTGTGGGCTGTTCTAATTAATAATAATAATGTGTTGCTGGTTAATTATTTGAGATCTTGATAAAAAGTATACTAACTAACTAAGTAGGCTTTTCCCTCATCTATGGGCACAATCATTGCAGTGGCAGTCTAAAATTAGAATTAATATACATATATATATACACACACACACAAGAACATCCCTACTCTGTACATCGGCTTAAAGATTTATATATTTCTCTCTATATACACATTTATATGGGAAGGAGAAAAATAAAGGATCCTTAATTATTTTTCTGGTGTTTGATCTGGTAAACACTTCAGATCTTCAAAAGTTTAATGTGGTCATGACTGTGGCGCATAGTGTGTTGTTGTGTATGATTTAACTTGAGTCACCTGTAAGGCACACTCACTTTGGAGGATAGCACACAGATCAGCAGTTATCTTGCATTTAAACCACAGCTAAAAACAATAACAATAATGATAATTAGAATAAAAAGGCGTGGAAATAAATGCCCGTCATGAAAGAAAAAGCACTTTTGGCTAACACTAAAAAGGCAAAACAAAAAGCGGTAAAGCGTTAAACACTGAAGACAGATGTTCGCGAGCTGAATAACATGGGAGATGGGAAAAAAACAGCTTCGTATTTTTTAAATATCTATCCACAGTTCAGTCAAACAATATACTGCCAAGTAATTAAAATGCATCTAAGTCACATACACTCTTCCTGGCCAAAAACAAGAAAACAAATAAAATATAAAATGTCATGAGAAATGTCAATCTAATTTTGTTATCAGGGGTAGTATGGCACCCTGTAAGGGACAGAAGAATGTCAAGAATTAGCGGTGCTCAAAATATTCCAGTTACATGGCATGAAACAGGTCAATTAATTCTAAAGCCAATAAAATAACTTTCAGTCTGTCACAATATTTTTCCTCTTGGCAATAATGAACTTAAAAATCCAACCAGTGGAGTCTTACAGACATTTAAGGAGAACTGAATAAGGAATAAGTTACATAAAAATTTGTTTTAGTGCTGCATTTACTGACATTAGCTAGCTTGTTTTGGCTGCAATCACAGGGCAAAAGAAATGATCATTTCAGACAGCTAAGTAAAACAAAAAGTGGCTTGTTCTGTAATTGGTTTCAAACAACTGTGGTTGCTCTCCCACATCCCCTGCGGCTGTTTGATTCCGTTGTCAAGATGCCTTTACAGTGACGATCGGTTTGCATCTCTCATCGCCTTTTGTGTTCAATAGTTCTGCAACGTCGCTATTGACATTCTGGTTTAATACACACAAAGGTCGGGAAACTTCATCTCGTAGATGGGTACAGATCGACTCTGGGTTTGGCCGTAACCTGATGAAATGGTTCCAGATGGACTGGGTGGGGGTCTGAATGTGAAGAGGGAACAGACTGCAGTCATCATCATTATCATGACTCAACAGCATCATCATCTTCATCATCCACTTAGTCAGTATCACTGCTATTTGATGTCATTATTGCCCGTTAAAAAAAATATTAAACAAATACAATTTTATTTAAATATTTCAAAACACTGTCTCTTACCTGATTGTAATCTCAAAGATCTGATTTAGTTTGCTCTGCAGTAGAGTGGCCTAGACAGGAGAGAATATATCATATTAGACAATACCAAGAAGCTGAAACAAGAAAACCAGTTTGAAATACAATAAGAATAGAAGAAGAATGTTTTTGATGTACCCTGGCTCCGCAGTGGGCAGCTATCTCTTCAAAGGGGGCCTTCTGAAACTTCTCCACCACTTGTCTCCTTCGCTCCCTCTCCTGCTCCTCCATACCCACACTGTCCACTAGAGGGAGGCAGAAAAAATATATGAATTTCAATAAAGCATTAGGAAAGTCACTACTCCTCTTCTGCAATCATGCTTTGGCAGCTTATTCCAACTGTTTCCACTCCATTGTTAATTACAGCTCAATAGACCCTAACCATTTTCTGTAAAAAGCACAGAAGTGTGGTGAAGCTGTGTTGGTTGTATTTCATAAATACTTTAAAGCCGGACTGAGTGGACATACCAATGGCATTTTTCAGGGTTTCAAATGTGATCTCCTCTGCAGGTGTCCTCTGCATGACAGAAAAAGAAAAACATACTATGATGCAGTGATGAGGTAATACATACTGAAAGGTGAAAAATGTTATGGTAAAAATGAGTGCTAAACTTCTCTACAGGGACATATTTAAGTTTTAGACCATAAAATTGTTGTAAATGCTTCTGTGCCTTTACCTCCTCTTTCTCTGGACTGTTTCGGGACTCCACCTCCACCTGGACTGAGATGGTCTCACCGATGCTCTTTCTCTTGGATAGACGGTCCTCATCTGAAAAAATAGAGCAGATTGTATTTTCCTTTTTTAAAACAGAAAACTTATAAGTGATGCAATAAATTACAAATTTTGATATTATTGAATAGGTAAAAACTAGGAGAACCCAAACAGAAAAAAAGAGAGACTAAAAACTTTGATGAGATAACAGATCAATATGAAAATGAACAGGCACACAAAAGAAACTGTCGTAAAACTCAATGATCCTGGTTCACTCCTCAGAGCTAGAAAAGGGTGTGCCCTGAAGAAGTGTGCTTCAACAAAACACTAAATTCTCACTAGTTCCAGGGGAGTAGTTCAGCCTGGCATTTCCATTCACAAATTATTAAGCACCTAGACAAAGTGGTACCAGCTGGCAGGTCAATAGACATTATCTTTTTTTATTATCATTTATTTGACAAGAGAAGCACATTAATAATTTTTAAGAATTCCTCCACTTTGCTACAGCTGATGTTATAAAACAAGGGATGTATCTTTACCTGTATACTGTGGGACATAAGGCGTAGCCAGTCTCTCTGTGTTGTAACCACTACCTCCAAGGACCTCAGTGATCTTTGACTGGAGGAACAACACGTCCCCTTCTACCTTCTCCAGTGAAGAAGGCAGCCTAGGAAGAAAGAGGGAGTGGTGAATGTTTTTTTAATTTACTAGAGAGTGGTAACTCACTGCTAGTATTGAATATTTAAATATAAAATTCAATACTGGTACGGTTTGGGAGAAAGGAGAACTGAACATGGATGGTACATACTTGGGGTGATCGATGAAGACATCCTCAGGCAAAAGGAAGGGGCTTTCTTTCTGTCTGACCTCAATTACCTTGAGGGCAGATGAGAAAGGCGTTTTGTAAACACAGATTCTTGGCATTCAGACACACAGATACACATATAAACACAAAGAAGCCCAAGTCCAGACCTCGTGTATGTGCTGGCAGAAGGCTGGGACGGTGGTGAGCTGGCAGATGAGGTTGAGGTAGGCGGCGGCGAGGGCATGAACAGCACAGCGGTTATAAACAGGCAGAGCCTCGTCGGTGGACAGAGCCAGGTCCTGCACAGGATACAAAGAGATGCTCTTGCATTCAAATTCACTCTAAAACACCTTTTAAAAAACATTCAAACACATTCAGATGACACACTTTGATTCCGTTTTATGTGTCTAGGAGTGTATCCAATTCTCCATTCCTGTGTTTTTCAATTGGGTTTTATGTTTATTTATAGCTACTTTTATCACCCATGTTTAAAACATGTCTTTCCATTTTTAATCAATTTTTTTTGAGACATTTCATGATTGTTGTTTTGAAGCATTCTTGTAAAATGCAGAATGCACTTTCACTTTGTGAACTCTGCATTCAGATAAGTGCTACATAAATTAAATTATGAGTTCATTACAACACTGATCACTAAAGTACAGTATTGCTAGCAGGTAACTGTGGCTGAGAGTAAACAACAGCACATGCAAAAACAAATGGACGAAAAGGATTATAATAAAATAAATCTTGATTGCATGCATGTGCTTCAGTACCTGCAAAGCAAGTGCCAGGCGAATGAGATCCACCACCACCTCTTCGTTTGCCAGTTCCACACTGAGAAGGCCCAACAGAGCGAAAAGGGTCTCGTAGTGTTGCCGACCGCTGCTCTGCTCCTTACAGCCCAAGTAGATGTGTCGGTACAGCTGCTGGCCGTGCTGTGAGCGGAGGACGCACACAGAGAGAGAGATGAGTCAACACAAATAGAGGCTGAGAGAGTCTAGACTTCAAGTACTCGAGTTTTTCAGCAAATGTAAATATTTGTTTGTTCAAAAGCATTTGGTGTGTATATGAATTTGCATAATTTGCTATGCTAAGTAGTAGTTTGCATCAGCAAGTCAAATGTTGTTTTGTGAGAAATTATCCATTTAATTATGTGCAGCAGTAGGAGAACATAATTTAAATTTGGAAAGGCAGAAAAATAATGACAGAGTAGACTGCCGGGACATGAAATTTAAAGACTTAAATATTAAGAAAGTACTGTTTCTAAATAGGTATTCATATATACCAAACCACCTGTAGATGGAGGACAGTACCTTTTTCATGAATAAGTTGTCCTGTCTGGAACACTTGTCAACTTTCAGCTTGAGCACAGAGATGTCCGAGATGATGCTGTACAGAGAACAAAGACACACAAACTGTAAGTGAAGCACAGATTAGTCCAATTAACCCAAGCTCTAGTGCAGTACAGCTGAGGCCCTACAATATACACAGACGCAAAAACACTATGTTCCTACAGAAACTCTCGCATACCTAATGTTGGAGAACTTGGGTCTGTTGTCGTGCCGGTCAATGAGACTGAGAAGGATTTGAAGCACCAGCAGTCGAACCTCTGGATCCTCGGTTAGAGAGAAGGAAAGCAGCGGTTCCAGGAACGAGCTGGGCAGTGCTGTCAGCATGTTGGTGGTCTGGAAACCTGCCGTCACCTGAGGGAATGAGAAGCACATTTTGGGTTTGCAATCTTCAAACACATGTTGCAAATTCAAATTAGCTAGAGTGGGATTGTGCTTTTGACCTTCGTAGAATGCTACAAATAATTTCTTATCATATAATCATAGGGTTCGACATCTGTCAGCTAAATATTGTACCAGCCTGCTCACTTCTGACTGGCTACTTTTATAGTGAAGACCCACATAACTAATGATGAGTAGCACCATGAATGTGATGTTAATCTGTTGTAGCGATGATGTTTAATTTTGTTTTACAGGAATTAAGATTCTACATGTTAAGAAACAAGGCCCACAGCTCTGTTCAGGGTGAACTGATTCTTGGGTCTAACTCCTATTAGCCCAAGACTGGAAACCTGAACAGCTGCTTCCATAAGTACATATTTCTATTTTTTGTAAATGACACCACTAGAAAAATATCCTTGACATTCCACAGTGGATTGGAAGACAAATGTGAAGCCATGAAGAGAATGAAAAGGTGAAAGAATATCAGGAGGATGAAAAAAATGTTTTAAACCACAAGAGTACAGCCAAAGACACAATGTTTGTAGAAAATTATTTTCTCCAGAGTAAAGCTCTTGAGAATGAAGTGACAGATCATTGATGGTGTCACCTCTGATGTGTCTCTCTGTTCCTGCTATTTTTGTCATCTATTCTATTTCTCTCCTTGAAGCTTCTTTCTATTTCGCTTGATTTTGCATCTAAGTAAAAATAAAGCTGGTGATCATCACCATCTGAGTTTTCATCTCCTACATCAAAACGAGGCTTTCTAAATTAACAATGATAATATGAGGATCGGGACCCACCTGGACCAAGGACTTTAGTAACATAACCTGAATCATCCTGGTACCCTCAGGCCTGGGGATGAAAGAGCAAATTCAATTAACATTTAGGTTCTCCCAAACAGCCGAAAACACATTTGTTTACAAAAGCACTGTTGTCTGAAGGGCAGAATGAAGTGAATTGTTTGACATGTAAGAATAATTTACCCAGAGCCTGTGGACGGCAGAGCTAGATGAACCCCAGGGACCGGGATCTTGCCCATTATGAAGAGCATAACCTCTGACCTCTGGTATGTTGGTAGAGTGTTGGCAAATGAACCTGAAAGGGAAGGAATCAGACAAACAAATAAGCATTAGATGGATAAGATGATTTGGAGAAAAGGGAAAAAAGAAATTAATACCAGTCAGAAGAAAACACAGGCACACAAGCATCAACACAGAACATAAGCACCACAAACAATCTGATCCAGTTCAGGAGTCTGTCTTGCAAAGCCTCCCACACAAACACAACCCACTCAGACTCACCGATGGTCCTGATAACAGCCTCCTGCAGCTGCCTCTCCTCATGAGCTTTGATGATCTTGGTGCCAATGTTGGTGCTGCCGTCATAGGAACCGGTCAACTCGTAGTCCACACTCAGACGAAGCTGCCGCAGCAGGGTGTTAAAGACTTCCAGCACTGTGGGGCCTGGATACACAGACAGTGAATAATCAAAACACCAGTTCACCTCAAAATGAAAATGAATGTCTGAACCCATTTACAATACGCCAGATGGTTCCTTGGTGTATGTACGTGTGCATGTGTGTGTATATATATATACATATATATATATATATATAGCTCACCCACAGAGCCGCTGGCCGCGATGGCGGCTGCCTCCAGCAAAACTTCCACTATCCCTGCGCGCACTGTGGCTGAGTTCTTGCTGTTAGCATCCAGGTGACCAAGAAGCTGCTGGATTACCAAGTGAGAGTGCTGGGACTGGAAAAGAGGTGGAGAAGGAATGAATGAATGAAACCACAGTGAAAAAAACACACTAAAATGTAGGAGGATGTTTGATACCCAAATGGAAATAAGCAAACATCTTATTTTTCAAGCCATTTTTGACTGTAAATTGGAGAGAACTCCACAAATATTGGAGCATGTTTTGACTGACTGCCCCTAAATCATATTATAACCATTCAAAAGAAAAAAAAAAATGGCACTGTATAAATCACAGTGCCCTATATGTACAGATATATGGACAGGCAACCCGAAAATATAATGCCTCCAGAGGTGAGGAAGAGGTCTCTAAAAATATGTAGGCCCTGTGTAAATCACAGTGCCATAAATCAAAATGTTTCAGATCCCATTTGGACTTGGAAATGAGGTCAGCAGAGGGAAAAGAACTAGAAAATGTGTTTTGTGAGGTCACATTGACCTTTGACCTTTGACCACCAAAGTCATATCAGTTCAGCCTTGAGTACAAGTGAATGTTTGTGCCAAATTTGAAGTAGTTCCCTTAAGGCAATACTGAGCTATCGTGTTCACATGAATGGGACGTACGGACAGACCAATGTACTGGCGTACGGATAGACAACCCGAAAACATAATGCCTCCAGCCATGGTTGTTGCCGGCGAGGAGGCATAAAAAGGAGGTGAGGATGAGATGTATGTAGGCACTGTATCACTCACCTGGATGGAGTACATGATGATTTTGAAGCAACGCACTGCAAAAGTCTTCCCTTCCCATAGAGAGTGGTTATCTAAGTGCCTGAGGGAACACAGACAGGAGGAGAGGGATGGGGAGGATACAGAAGATGTAATTATACAGCACCAGAAATGATGGAGAGCAGCAAGGAATTGAGAGCAAATTTTTAGGTCCATATATATCTTTTACATTTATATTTGTATGATGTACCAGTTTTAACAGAGAGCACAAGCGTATGTGATTAAAATGTAGGGAGGCACAAGAATTGTAGAATTCGAAAAATCTAAGAATTTAACTCATAGTTGAATGTGATCAGGCTGTCGTTATTAGATGCAAAAAGTGCAATAAAATGACAAAAGAAACCCAATCAACACTAACGTTCAGGATCACAATGTCCATTAAACACGATCAATGTGATTACAAGTGAGCGGTTGGTCGAACTACAGAGTCCTATGCAATGTGTGTACTATTATGAGACTGAGAGGCGGGGACATAAACTACTAAAGCATGAAATGGACAGAAACAGAGACAGTGATGGATGGACAGGAGCTGGTCTCACAGCACATGACAAGTGAGATGAATTGAAGAGTAAATTGAGAGAAAACTGAAAATAGATGGATCAAGAGTGTTCAAAGAAAAGAAAAAAAAACTACAGTAGAAAACAGTAATTCTGAATTCTAAAGTACAAAAACCAATCAATCAATCAATCAATCAATCAATCAATCAATCAATCAATCAATCAATCAATCAATCAATCAATCAATCAATCATTAAACACATTAAAGGCTTAAAAGGTCCATGAAATTATATGTTTCCACCTCCCATGTGCAGTTTTGAAATGTTTGTGAAATAACCTTTCAACATCCAACTTTGTATTGTTGCTGCTTTTTATGTTGTTATCCAGATCAACTGTCAGTAAAATGTACAAGTGCAGTAATATGCAGTACATTTTCTGCAAGGCAGTAGATTTAGCTATATTCTTGCAGGCACATTATATGTTCAAGTGCTGGTTGGCATAATTTATCTGCTGTATTTTTCAGCAGATGTCTGAGCTCACGTAGCTTTAACTGTTAATGATACATTCACATTATAGCTAACCCACACCTTCATGGAAATATAGTATAAAGCACAAATGATAAGAAATACCAGCTGAGATTCAGGGAATGAAGCCAAGTGGGACAAAGATAGACAAATATACAACAGACAACTTAATCAACTCAGTACAAAAAGGGATAAGCATGAATGTCTCGGGCTCAGAGAGATGCAGGTACATGCAGTGAAAGGAAAATGCTGTGACAAATAAAATACTTCACTCCAGGGAGAACTGTAGAGCTGAATTGATTCTAGCAATAGAAACGTGGAGGAAGCGAGAGATGGAGAGACAGACGACTACAACAAAAAAACTCTCACAGAGGACCAGGCTCAGAGACATTTAAAGTTAAATAAAAACATAGATGACGACGTGAGGCACGATAAAGCTGTAAATAAGAAGGGAGTGGGCAATGTGTTGTCACAAAAGAACTATAACTAATTAAATAACAATCTTGCAAGGCAGAACGCACCTGCAAATCATGCACTCACATCTAGTAAGAACAACTGCGTAACCTTGCATTGACCTTGTGCCCCTTTGGGCAAATCAGAGTAAAGCTAAAAATGCCGCAGTAGTGCCCTGAGAAGCATCCTTCATTTAGATTTAGTCAGCACATCAAAAACAAACAACTGCATAAAGGAACAAATCACAAAGAGAGGACAGATCTTGTAAATAAAAGAGCTTGCAGGGTTGTCTCACATCAGCACGGGTGTGATGGCATTCTTGATATTGCCATAGGCGGCTCGCCCCAGCAGCTCCCTGAAGCAGCGCTCCGTCAGCTCCACCGGGCTTTCCTTCTCCTTCTCTGACGCCTGCAACGGAGAGGGGGAGCGGCTGGTGGGGAGCAATGCAGGTGAGAAAGCAGAATAGAAGGAGAGGAGAGGAAAGAACAGGGAGGAGGTGAGGAGAGGGAAGGAGGGAGGGGATGGCCAGTTAGACGGGGAGAGAGAGGCACAGAAAGTGAAAGAGAGAGAACAGAGAGAAGAGGCGAGAGTTTGGAATCAATTTGTTTCAATAATAAACCAACATTTACACAGAGGCTCGATTTCTTTTAGAAACACACTCTGGACTGCTGTGTCACCGCAGCCTTCAATCCTGCAGTGAAAATTAGGTGGTTGTGTGTGTGTGTGTGTGTGTGTGTGTGTGTGTGTGTGTGTGTGTGTGTGTGTGTGTGTGTGTGTGTGTGTGTGTGTGTGTGTGTGTGTGTGTGTGTGTGTGTGTATTTGTGTATTGCACATCGGTTATCACCATTTGAAGACATGTCTGTCTCTGTGTTTGTATGTGTGTGCGAGTGTATGTGGATACAGTCGGTTCAACCTTTTTTTTTGTTCTCATACATAGTTAAAACCTCAGCCATAACTCTATCTTGGTCATGACTAGCCTCGGGTGGTTCACCAATGATGACATTATTTATTAACAACCTAACTCTTTCATCTTTCCTGCTCCTGCTGCTGTTGCTGTGGAGGAAATGTGACTTCCTGCCTCCTCTAACTTGGCTTAAATTCACAAAAAAGACCCTGAAATTTGAGGGGTAATGGAAAACAGCAAAACCAAGAAAAAAAAAACAGAATTCATACACCAGTTTAACTTTAAGGGCACAAACTTAACTGCAGCCATTTCCTTCTAATGTAGAAAACACTAGTGAGTTCTAAGCTGTTGCTGAAAGGTTTTACATTTGTCCAGCAGTAACAAATAATGCTCACCAAGCCGCTCTCATTGACCTCTGTCCAATTGAAAAGGGCATTTCAAACACCCACAGGAGACTTCATTCTGTGCTCTCACAGCAGAGTTTTGTCTAATGGTTTGGAAACTAAGAAGGAAGCCTTTGGCATGAGGAGAAATCAGCATACCCAGCATCTAAAAGCCTACTGGTCTTACTATATCTGCTTCCATCAAACAGTTTACAGATGCTGTTTTTGAATCTGTACAGTGTGTAAAATGCATGTTAAAAATGCAAATTCAGTTAAAATTTTCTGTTGATGCTGCAGGCAACTACACATGACATTTAAAACAATCAACCATGCAGGCACTTCTTGAAATATAACACAAAACAGAGCTCAGAGAAAGATTTTAGTATCTCTGGAAATAAATTCTCTACAAAAATTAGTCCAAACCATCAGAAGCTAAAACTCTGCCTGAAGTTGATCTTTAAATGAACTTGTACATGTGCATGGGGATTAATGCAGAGAAAAATGCACCATCTGTGAGTTTAATGAGATTCTCTACTGACTGCTGTGGGGTTTGTGGCTGATAATGACTGGCTAAACTTAGTGTGAGGAGGAATGGAGAGTACACAGCAGGGACAGGCCTCATAATTCACACAGAGTAAAGGGATGCTCAGAGGGCAACTGTCTGTGTTGGATTGTGTCTGTCTGTCTCTTTCTGTCCATCAGCTTTCTTTCAATAACATCTTTCATCACCGTTTTCTATTATCCACCCTCCATCCAGTCTTTCAGCCCCCCCCCCCGCTCCTCTAACCTCAGATCTCAGCACTGACGTCAATTTCACTATGTGGAGTACTGCCGATAAAGGGAGGCTCAAGACTCTGCATCTCTCTCACTTGCATAATCTAGCACCCAATCCTTGTGATGTTTTTATTTCTCTACCCATTGCACTATTTATGTTCATGCTTTGCCCCTTTCGTACCACCCTTTCACACACCCCCACCCCCCTTTTTCAGATTTTCTCCCCATCTCCTGGTGTTTTTGTCTTTGGATGCTGCAGGTGGGCAAACAGATGCCCATGAGGGCAACAGAGCTGTCAGTGGGCTCACTCAGTGATGGCAATGATGATGAATGACATGGGTGATGGCTGGCTAGACTGCCAGAACAAATATGGCCTAACGTAAGACAAACTGCACCAGAAGGCTACAGCACAATGGCTGTGGTGAGTGTAACGGAGGCATGGCAGGTCAACACTGTATCATTTTGGGTCATCAACTTTCTCACCACATGACGGGACAGCCTAGCCTGTTTGGTGACAATCACAGACATAATAACGCAGTGGGCTATATTCATCTGTTTTGAACTGAAGCTGGTAAGAAAATGCCATTTTTTATAGACACACATTATATAAATCCTCCTTTTGTAGGGTTTTAATGTCCGGTTTTTGTTGAAACCATTTTACGGAGGTGTTGATTCAAGGTTGCGGTTTCTCGACCCTACTTATGAGGACAGGCTAAATAACAGAAACACTTCACACACTTTTATTAATAACAGGTTATTGGACTTAATGGCAGAGCTCATTGTTTCTAAGTTTAACTAAAATTGTTCCAAAGTCTTTTAGTAGGCAAAACCCTCTGCTTCTAGTCAATTTTCTGCATAAACCATGTAAACACATAAAATACAACAAAACAAAATACAATATACAAGTAACATGCACAAAACAGAGAATGAAATGATGACCTGATAACGAGATCTCAGAAATGACTGGGAAAATTACAAGTACCAGTACACCCAAATTATCTGGTGATTTAAGGTGAAACCGACACTGTAAGATCCATTACATATTTGCCTGAGGTCTGATAAACAGCAACATATGGATGTCAGCTGTCATTTTCCTTGTGAGCACTCACCTCTCTGTACGCTCTCCACTCTGCAGGTTGAAAAGCAGAGAAGGGACGATCTTGTCCATGTGCTGAGGGTCCCAGATGTTAGCTTGTAGCTCATCATTCACAGTCTTTCTCACCACACCCTGCAGGCCTTTGATACCTGCCATGCGGATCCTGGACGCAACAATCACAGACACAGACACAGACAGCAGACATCGTTTAATTGCTTCTATAAATGGATGATTATATTTAGGAAATTTTCATCTATATCTGTCAGTGTTATTTTTTTCAAGGCTATATTTAACTATTCAAAGATGTCACTCTCTATTTTCAGTAAATGACAAAGATGACAACAAGATCACTTTTAAATAATAATAAAACATAAAACAGCATGGGCAGCAGTAGTCTAAAAAAAGACTTCCTAAAGTAGTCTAAAAACAGTAGTTACTTAATCATTCTGCCTCTGGCGCAATCAAGCATCTGTCCACTCACTTGGTGCGGATATCAGGGTCCTCGTAGCTAGAGTGGCACATCTCACTGAAGCGCGACACAAAGAAGTCATAACTGCGGTGGTACGATGGTGTATCTTCTTCTATGTTGGCAAACTTCACAAACTGAGGAGGGGAAAAAGAAGGTAAATACATTTTTATGTCAAACAGAAACTCTACAACTCAAGAGATTTATAGTAGTAAGTTTGCTCCTCAATAGCCCAAGTCTATAAAGAGTTTATTTCAATTAATTAAACACACTTAAGTGAAAATACACCAAATCCACATACTGAATATCTCCCAAACTAAAGTCAAACTGCAGCGTCATTACATCTCATTAAAAGCGAAAAGCACAGGGCAGAGGGAGGCTCTCCCACTGGGCCAGAAAATGTCAGCATTTAAACACGCTGACATTTAGCTTCACACACACACTGCAATTAATAAATTATGAACTGGAATTATAATACCTGTTAACAAAAATTATATATTGAAAATTCTCTGAAGCAGATGGTAATTACAGTACAGAAATTTCCAATACAAATTCCAGATTTCTACAATCAAAAATACAGGTTGGATTGATGCAGTAATCCAAATGCAAGGATAAAAAAAGTCGAAGTTATGTAGAAAATAGAGCATCTAAAGAAGTCCCAGATGAATCTATTTCCTGTGTATAAAACAAGTATTTGGAGTGGTTTTGAAATTAAATGAAGTGCCCTTGAGCAAATTTAATGAAGTGAACCCATAACTGCTCCTATGATGCTGCTCAGCTACTACAGCAAATTGCTGCTGCAGTTGATACTCAGAAGCTGCCCAGTAACCTGGCAGTAATACTGGGCATCATATATCAACTCTGAGTCTGCAGAACAATCTAAAACCATAGGCAATGGAGAGTGGAGATTGTAAACATTTTTGTTGCAACCAAAGGCTACACCAGGACAAACTAACCGTTGCCTCAAGTGTATCCTATCATAGTCATCCACAAAAATAACTGCAAATTAGAGACAGAAACGCTACCTCAGGAACTGATGTGTTGAGGAGCTGGGTGTGTGACAAAGCTCTGCAGTATAAGGTTTTAGGTCACTGAAATAAACTCTGAGAAAACCTGGTTGGGCTTGATTCCTGTGGTGATAAACTCTAATCCTCTCCTTTCCCATCTCTCTGACACCGGTCTGCTTCTGATAAGCCACACAGCGCTAGCGATGAAGGAAATATGCTATGTGCTAGTTGCCTCATAAACAAACAGCATTTGTTTGCACTGAAAATTACAGTATATGTATAGTTCTATGTGTGAGGAAGCTCAGGGTTAAGTCTGCCTTGTGTGTGTGTTACAGCTGAACAATTCTAGTGAAACTAACCCCAATCAATATCCTCACAATGTTCAACAACAGACACACTGAATGCAAAGCTTAAATGAGCAGATATAGCAAATACAGATAGATATAGATATATTCATCTACTATTAATTGTTGTGAACAGTGCTGTGATGCTCAGTTAATTATGCAGCACTGAGGTGTGTGTGTGTGTGTGTATCATGTGTATGAGTGCTTCAATGTATGGCTTTGAATTTGTCCTAAACACACCCATGAGTGTGTGCGAGAGAGACTAAAAGCAGGAAGATTATGAGTGAGAGGCTGGCATGTCTCATCAATCTGTGTAGATGACTGCAGAGCTTTACCAGGGTGGTCTGCAGCTAATCTGATTTCCTTTGTGTCCTCTGCTGACCTGGCCAACAGTGCTGATAGCTGCTTCCCATATCAGAGGACACTCATCACTCCCACTCCCTCTGCCCATCACTCTCTCGCTGAGCTCTGATCTTTCTCAAATACTACCGCAGTGTTCCTCTCAAGGTTAACATCTTTTATTTTGTGCCATCACATCAGGAAAGTAAATGCACCCTGTCAACTTCTGATTAGATAATACCTCTAAATCCACTGAAATGGGTAGAATTTGATGCGACAGAAAGGCTTAGAAACCAAGGGACATTAAACACATTAGTGACCAACAGTTCATGGATGTGGGTATTTATCAAAATTTATATCAACAAAACAATCTGTCTTAGCTTTTAAATGATTCTTGTTACCAAAAATGTATGACCAGACAAGGTTTTTTGCTTATTATTATTATTTTGCTTCTACAGTAAATTGTAACTGTAAATCTTTTGAAAAACTACTTTAAATCAAGTCACATGGACATTAAGTTGGATAGCGCATTTGCTCTTTCCCTGAATGCAATGACTAATGTTCAAGACTTATGAAGTTAAGATATCACTTGGTTTAATGAGTTACTATTACTAGTTACTACTATTTACTACAGTTGTCTGTTATCACAATGGTGAATTTTTGTTATAGATACTACACTGTACTGATTTAAAAGAAAAGAAAAAAATAAAAGACAAATTATTTGCAATTGAAAATAATTATATTTATTCTTCCACAAAGCAATATAATAATTGAACAGTAGCTAAACAAAATGATTATCATCAAGGATTAATGGAGCTACCAGTTTTATGATGTACATGATTTTCTTTGTTTGTTTGTTTCATATCTGCAAAACTATATATCAAGTGATGAACTCTTTAAACTAGTAATCTAATCCTGGACACTCACCGAGTTTGTTCCTAGAATCTGTAGGCTGGGTTTATCTGACTCTAGCAGCTTCCGCACCATCTTAAGAAAGCTCTCCACAAACAGGTTGATGCTCTGACAGTGGCAGGCCATCAGCAGCTGGTCCAGGGCTTCCATGGCTATGCACACATACCTGAAGAGGAGAAGAGAGACATAGGGACATCTGAAATAGACCACTGACCCTGTGGGCAAATATAATCTGTGTCCGGATATCTTATATGGACAATAAAATAAATGGATATTTTCAAAATAACTAACAAACAGCAACAGAGATCGAAATGTGATAAGCTCTGCCAGACAAACTCTAGAGACTCACATATTGCACAGATTTCAGGGGGACTCTGCCAAGTGTAAATGTAATCTGTGCAGGCTGTTTGCATTGGCAAGAATCATCACAGGGCATAATAGTCATGAGTGATGGAAGACAATTTCTGTGGCATATAGAGCAAGTGCAAACTGCACAGAAACATCGCAGTCAATGAACCTGCCTCCCCACCTACCCAGCTGAACTTTGCATGATTGCCCAAAAAGACTGATTATAAAAAAGGAAAATGATCAAGAACACATATTGTACATAAGTGGTGGAAAATGTGTCCAGATTGAATGTAGAATAAATATGACGTGTCCTTTTAGATTGACCTTTTAAGGAGATCTTAAAAGCATAATCTTAAGCTCTTTGATGGACTGTCAGTGTAAATCTCTATGATGAAAGGCTACTACAAGCATCATAACTTCACAGCAAGACAACCTCAAATTCTTACCAGAATTTTAGTGTTTAAGCTTTAATTCTACCAAATTTAAATCAGTTAATGCCTGGAAGTATAAATAATACAAACAATAATAAACCTATATTTGTCAGGGCAGAGATTTACCAGCTTAAATGTTTTTCTGGGGGCTATATTGAATGGCGATTGACCAGTGTTGCTCACCCGTATCTGTGTCGGGCCACATCCCTTGACAATCTCTCAGACAGGTAAGCTCCGATACGGTCGAGCTTCTCTGGAGCTGACAGGGCGTAGAATGTCAGCTTCTCCATGTTGGCTTTCACTAGCCCATCCTAGGAGGGTGAAAGAAAGAAAGAAAGAAAGAAAGAAAGAAAGAAAGAAAGAAAGAAAGAAAGAAAGAAAGAAGAGAAAACCAAGACACAGAAGTTAAGAAAGTTTTAGGGTCTCACTCACATGTAATTATTCAATACACATCTCTCAGCTAAGGCAGTTGTGTACATAGTGTAGTGTGCATTCTCCTCAAAACTCAAATTGTAACAGTATAACTAGATCACTGACTTTCACCTCCTACTTTCCCCATTGACCTACTTCATTGCTCTTCAGTTTGGTCAGGGGGAGGAGAGAGCTAAAAACACTTATAGTCCATTGAGATCCCTTTACATTCAGACGAGAGCTGAAACATGTAGTCCATGAAGTAGCACTCTCAAAAATGAATAGAAAGTCAGGTTAATGTTCAAACAGATTGGTAAGACTACAAAGCTATGATGGAGGACTTGTAGAATTTTTTAGTTATATACTCCTGTATAAAGCATTGCAAGGCAAAGAAATAACAACAGTGATAGATGGGCAGAGTATCATTCATCATTCAAAAAAACCAGCAAACCATAATGTTTTTTTCCACATAAGACACATTGGAGGCAAACCGCATAAAACGTGCCAATCAGTTGGTAATGTATGAGCAATCACCACAGGCCCTTTTCATGGATTCAGCTGAACAGAAACACAATGTGACCAAGCCTTTCTATCCCAGGAAAAGCACAAGTGTTACTAATAACATTAAAGATGGGTCTGTTCTATTCAACTGTCCCAGTAAGCCATGACAGTGAGCCAGCACGCACAATACCACAACCCTGAAACTGAAGCCGCGAAATGGAATTCAGCCATATTCAATTTTTATTAAAAGGGCTTTTCCTATGTTAAAAATGTCAAAATGTCAATTACCATACATGCAGGAGAATGGAAGCAGCACTATTGGTCAAGCACCTTGTTCAAGTAAGTTTGAATTGACTTGATAGTCATCACCTGAACACTATTCTTAACTCTGTAGCTCCATGTCCTCAGCATCTTCTGTAAGAGATTGTACTGTAGTCTTTCATCATACTGCCTTTGAGCAGTCAGCTTTTTCTGTGAAAGCCACAACTCAGTGAAAAATCCTACCAGACGACATAAAGATCAGTAGCTTCAATCTGAACAGTCAAACTGAACTGACTTGATTGGCTGCAATCTGCCAATCCTTCCAGGACCTGTGCACCTCCAGGACCCTGAGGCGAGCAGGAAAGATCGTGGCTGACCCCTTATTGTGTGTAATTTGTATTATGTGTTCTGTCTTGTTTGTCTCGTTTGCTTAGTGCTGTTTCATCACTTTGTGGAAGTTTTTATTGTGACCTGCCAGGGGACTGCAGATAAAAATGTATATATTTATATACTAGCATTTTCATTGCCAATAAATACATTTTTAAATTACTAAATGAATTACTAAATAAATAAATAGGTCTTGTTCACAGCAGATATTTTGATATGTCATAGAAGCAAAAGCACAGGAGTTATAATAACGTTATTGACAGGAAGGCAGCATTTAATTTAAGATGTTCCAGTTGGCATGGCTTCCTGACACACCTGAATGAAATAAGGTCACTCATTAATATCATTAGTTGCACCTGTGCTTTCGAGTTTGACACGTCAAAGAGTCTGCTGTGAAAAAGGCTTATTTCTCTAGGGAGGGTTATTTTAGAGATGAGCACAGGGCTGGCTCTGCTTTTGTCTGCCTCTCCAAAACATCCTGTGGCTGAAATCCATAATCGATTACCAGCCAGAATACTGCAGCTGACAATAAAACAACATGCTCTAGTTGAAAAGGTGGATTTTTTTAAATATACATACACAATGTGACATAATTTTGAGTAAATGTTATCAAACGGCTTCATTATTCCCAAACTGCTGAAATACAGTTAGTTACAGTCTCAGTAACAGCAGCTTAGAGCCAAACTTAGAAACTTTTTTTTTTGGGAGCACAATATGCAGGTGTGCACGCATGCACACACACAAAACAGGGAAAGAAGGTCTGTGTGTACTACTATGCCCTTCGCGTTGCAGTTCTGGCCACAGATCTGACAGGTAAAGTGGGTTACTGCAGCAGAACAGAGGCACTTATGAAAAGTTTCCTCTGCAACAAATCTGCTCCTTCTCCACCCAAACTAATTCTCTTTATGAGTCATCTGTATCAGATCTCAGTTTATCAGAGGAAGTTGTAGCAAAGATGAAGTCTGTGGTTTTACACCAACAGCTTTGAAGAAGGCACTTACATATGGAGGCATGCAAATTTTTCTTATCACATCTAGCTCACTCTTCTTTACTCTTCCTAAGATGTTATAATAACACTGTGTTTACATTGACCTGTTTAAGGAGTACAGATCGAAATACCAGCTAAATATGGTACAGTGCTAATTTCTCACATTTCTGTTGTTCTGGTGTCCTGTTGTGCATTGTCTTGTTCAATATAACTCCATAACTAAATAAACTTAATTAATCTTGATGAAGATACAGTACCTTGTCATTATAACAACAGCTTTTACCAACAATTCAGCAAGCACATTAGTAGGCTCCACATGATTTCTATAGATAATCATGTACAAGACATGGTTATTCAAAGAGAGCAAGACAAGAAATTACTAAAGAAACAGAAAGTGTCACTTGAGCTTCTCACCTCTGGGTCTTCTGGGAAGATGTTGTCTACCAGGCGCTTGTACCGAGGCCTGAGTGCCCCGCAACAACCACAAACCCCTGAGGAAGACAAGACAGACCAAGGAGAGAGAGGGAGGAGAGAGAAAAACAAAGAGAGAGATTATCAAGTAGACTTATACAGTATGACTGACAGAAATGCAATAAAATCAAAAAGAAAGAAAAACAACTAAACATGTCGTCTTTTCTCATCCCTTCTCTGTCGTAGCGCTATTTGTCTAGTCTGTGTAAGTTTCTGTAAATCAAAGAACACAGTGTCAAAGTAATCATGTATATCTAAGCCTTAGACATACCTTAATACATTGTGGCTGATACCTTAGACTCTAAGGTATCAGCCACTTGCTCCAAAAGGTGAAGAAAGACTACATACTGTAAGTAGGACTAAAACTGCTTATTGCTGCTAAACTTCTAAGACAGTGGAAAAGAATGACTTTGCATCACAACATACTGTATGTACACAGAGGCAGTAGTAGAAAATTAATAACCAAAAGATCATAAATTGTTAAACTGACTTGTCAGCAGGGAAAACAGCTGTATATAAAATAATAATGGGTATGCTAACAAGTTGAAATTAACAGTATTCTTGTCACTATTATCTTTAAGGCCTTATTCAAGTGGTACACTTGATATAAATGTGCACATCATTCATTTTATGAGGTGCAGCTGTGTCTAGCCTGCTGTGACAGGTAAAAATGATCAGCCAAAGTGTAGAGAAGCAAAGAATTTGCTAGGGAGCTGCTGAATACAGAAAGACAACACAGACTGCACTGAAAGAACTCTACCCATCACTTTAACTCTATCAAGACAAAAACCATTGCAAGCTTCCACAAAACTTCATAGTCAAATAACCCTGTAAGAACAGAGCTGCCAAATGTTGACCACCGTTATTAGTACTGGCATGATGCCATCATTCAAACTACTGAGTCCAAGATTAAAAACATGAAGATATGTTCATGTTTATGGAGCTTCTGGGAAACAGAAGCTTAGTCAGCACCTCCACAGTTTGTTCCTTAACTGTTGTACAATAACAGCCTTTATCTCCCCACAAAAGCCCATGCTAAGTGAAGGTAATCTTGTGAAAAGACATTTGAGGAAGGCCAGATATGGAAAGAATGTGGTCACAAGACAATTACAGTCACAACAATGCCACTCAGATGATAATAGACACATAAACACAAAGGCACAGACATAAACTATCTCTCTCTTTCTCTCAGAGCAACCAAGACAGCCTTGGAGAGAAAAAGTGCAACACAGTGAAGAGTGATTTTTCTGACTTTACATTAAGGAGAAAGCAAGCTAGGCAGCCAGCAAGAGCTGGATTCTGATTGGCTGAGGGAATTCAGCAGTGGTGAGTCATAAGGGGACCCTGGGAGAACGAAGAAAAAAGCGATAGCCTAAAAATAAAAAGAACAAATGAATCTTTTAACCCTTCACACAGTTTCTAAATAAGATTTATTCCTGCATTCATCAAACAAGAACATGTGAGTTTAGGTGTGACAAACGATAATGAAAAAAGTGGGTCATTATGCCGTTAGCAGTGCAGTTGGGTTTAATGAATGACATGAGCCTGACACTTCAAACAGAGACAGGACAAATTTATTTATTTTTCGATAGACTAAGTCAAAGCAATCTGGGAAAAAAAAGCTTTTCTCCCGTCCTTCCTTCCTTCCTTTCTCAATCCCAACGTCACTTTCCTTCCTTCTATTCTCCCAAAGAAAAATGTTTCATTATTCATTATTTTAGTTTGCTCTTACACAGATTGAAGCCTTATTCACTGACGTGGCACTAAAACTTCACTCAGAGCATACTGACCAGACATTAACAAGACTACCAGCCAACTCTATCTCACAATACACTGTATCCAATGCACAGTATATTCTCCCATGGCTCATGCCACCAAGACAAGATATTTAATCTTTTTAATGCACGACATGAAATGTATAAGAATCCTTTCACCAACCAGCACAACCAGCAGTCTTGTGCCTTGTGATAGACACACTGTTCACACTATGAGACACTCGGCCTCCTACAGAGACTAGATTATTCAAACCAGCTGTCAACTTGTAATTTTTTCTTTTTGACATATAACACCAGATTATATTCTCAGTATAATACTGACCAATAGTGCACATTTCACACAAATGATGGAGGCAATCAGCAGCCTGACTCACCAATGTGCATAGACAGGCTGAGCTCTGCTATAACACCACTGTGCAAGACAAGCAACAACCAAGTTTCCGGTGCAATATAGTTGATTTCCCAGTGATACAGAACTATAATAAATAAAAAACAAAAACACAGGCCATTTGAAACCTGAGGAACAACCACACACACGCATTTCCAGCAACTTGCAGTTCAAAAAACTAACACAAATAATGTAATAAGGAGTGTTGTGAAAAGAACATTTTGTCCTATGTCATACATAGGTAATTATTTCAAATACAGGGGGTATGTGGACTAAGTATGGAGACCATCCTCTAAACCAAAAAACACGAGGCTCCGTAAACAATAAAAATTCTCCTTCTGGGCTATGTATCCTACATTCCCTAGCCTTGTTCTATGTTATCAGTGACCTACACCTAGGAGGAGGGGAGTCAGTGCAGCCAGGATGTCCTTGAAAACCCTTTTAATAGAGTAAAAGGCATCTTTACAGTCTTAACTACTTAAAGGCCCCTCTGTTCCAAGGCTTCTGTCTGCTCTCTAAAAGTTCTGCTGAACTCCACAGCAGGAGCACTGCTGGTGCCCAGGCTTATCTCTGAAAGCTGCGTGTCTATTCATAGCAGTGCTCCTCTCTCCTCCATCACTTCAAACACTAATGAGGCCTCTGCCCTGCTCCCTCCCTCCTCCCCCTCCTCCCTTCTTCCTGCACCCACCCAACCTCCCTCTATCCCCTTCATTCACCCTCGCTGTACTGGCCCAAGGCCTGAGTGTAGGAGTCACCACTGAATTAATGAAAATGTAGCAGGTCCCAAGTGTAGAGAGGAAAGGATGGTGGACAAAGAAAGAGTGACAGAGACAAACAGGGAAAGAGGAAAAGATAGAGACAGAGATGGAAGTGTGATGGGGGAGGTGGATTGACTATGACTCACAGATTAGTGCTACTTATTGCATCTTCTCTGTCCAGTACAAATCTGTCCTGTCCTCTCTGTCAGCAGTACAGGAAAGATATCTTTAAGAGGAGCAGAGGGATAACACAGGGAAAGTTTTTGTAATGCTATTGTTCCAAAATATCCTTGATAATTTTAACAGCTCCTGGGATGTAGCAATTTAGATATTATTTCATACTCCTGTGGTACACTGCATGCATGTGCACATCCACTGCAATTAGTTATAAGCAAGTTATTGTCATAGGTAATGTCCTACATTTTTTCATTTTTGACATTAAATTTGCTGTCATGGATTGCCAGCAGGTAAAACAACTTCACGACACATCTGAACGATTGAATTTCTTTGCGACAAAAGCCAATTCAGCCCATAGCAGAAAAGCACTCTCTCTCAAGAAACAGTCAGTGTTTGAAGGTGGGTTGAGGTAGCATGTCACACCCACTGGTCACTGTAACACAGTATTAATTCACATTTTCTGCTTCCAGTATGCCTCAGGCAGTTTGTGTTAAAAAAATAAGCAGAGTTCTGGTTTCCGTAATGGTGTTGATAATGTTAGGTTAGTGTAGAAAAAGCTAAGAGAGAGCAACAAGGTGGGTGGACAGGAATTTGGAAGACAGCGGTGAAAAGCACACATAGCAGGGGATCTCACGACATCCACCCACTCTGCATGGCAAACTGACAACACATTTAGGGGCTGGACACCGAGCTCCTCCGCGCTTCCATACACACTCACACATGAACCCAAACACAAACATGGTCACACACACTTTGAGGAGAATGAAAGTGCAGAACAATTAATTGTTGGTTGTTGGTAGACAGAACAAGATAATAAAGAGGAGGACATCTCTGCAACCTGCTGCGCCACAGTTGGGGAACGCTGGTTGTGTGATATCTACTTGTTTCACTGACTGGATGTTAAGATACATATCTATGCAGGATGAGTTTAAGTATGCATATGTATACACATGCGAGGGGTCTCCACCCCTCAAATCACCACAGCAAGGAGCCAGCCAATCACCATGCTATTTTTATCCCAGTAACAATGGGTTGGTACATTAACAGATTACACTCTCCATTTCCCCCAGGATGTCAGCTTAACATTTCCACATTAGGGTGAGAGAGAGATAGAGAGAGGAGAGAAAACACAGCATTCTGAAGTGAGAAAAATAGAGGCAAACAAAAAATATATAGCTCTGAAAGACATGTTTGTGCCAGATAATATTAAAAAAATCCTCCACGCAGGTTCACAGACAGTGTCAAATGTTAACAGGACTACTGCATTGTCACACATATCAACAATGAACACAAATCAAGAGGTTCAATCTCACCACAAGATGAAGGTGCACTGACATCTGAAACAAGGGAATTTATCTACAAGACTACAATAGTTAAACGAATTACACACACAAACACACACACACACACACAGAAGGTAGGAGTAAGACAAGTAGTCCATCACATCTTGTAGTGTCATATCTGCATCTGCTGTCCCAAAGTTGCTCTGTTGTACCCAAAGTCACGTGGCTGACAAGACGGAGTAAATATAGTTCTGATGCCCTGCAAGAGTATTAAACACATTTTGTCTGTATGTGTGTGTGTGTGTGTGTGTGTGTGACAGACAGAGAGAGACAGAGAAATGGGGAGACACAACTGTCAATAGACGTTCAGACCTCACCTCCACCTGGGGTCATGCAGAGCACTGGTTTTACAGGCCACATTCAAAAGCACACAGACAAATATACTCAAGCAAACAGCATACACTTTTTGTAATCATGCAGTAATCTGTTACAGGCTGCATATGTATACCTGTGCAAAATACATGACACGTCTCACAATGGTTACAAAGCATGTTGCCCTTCAGGGGCGTTATTACATAAGCAGGAGGGGGGAGACAGACCAAGTCATGCTATTTTTACATCAGCAAACAAGGAGGGACAAAACATCTTTAAACAGTGAATTCACATGGTGAAATGCAAGCACACAACAGAATCTATAAACACACAGAGAGTACAAGACAAGAGGCGAGGAGAGTGTAAGCAAATAACAAATAATGAGTGAGGCTGATTCAACAGCCAACTAATATGCACACAAGCTGTCGCTCAGTGAGTTTGGGAGAGCTGTACAGCAGATGAGGAGAGAAGGTGAGCATCATGGAGAAGAGGCTGATAGTATTAGGGAGAAATGTGAATAGTTGTCACTTTTACCCCCCTTCTCTCTGTCACGACGAGCCTTACCCTCCTAGAACGTATCTTTGGGGCTATTGTCATGCCTACACATTGTGCACATACTTTGCAGAGCCATATGTACAGCATATGCATTTTTTTCAACCATCAATCCATGTATACTGAGTCAAAAATTCAAAGCATCCATTCGATCCAGTTTGGCTGGCAGCAAACATGGCTGGTGTATAGCACTCTGATGTATAGAGCCAGCTGCCAACAAATCCTTGTGACACAAGACCAATCCGACACACTATGAATCACAGTCAAACAGGCACTGAAACTGGGCTATGAGGGTCTCAAGCCCAGAGCCCCATATCCATACAGTAGCGCACCAGTGCAACGCACAGTAATGCCAAACTGAGCTTGATCTTCCAGTGTGCAGTGTCTGTGTTGGCAATTCATTAGCCAACGAACCAAAGCCTTTGTCCATCAATAGTCTGCAAACTCAAAGCAAAGCTGCCTACATTTTTAATTAGCACTAATCAATGAACCATATATCAACATGTCCCAGTTACACTAGAGCGACAGTAAGCGATAACATTTCACCAAGCACATAATCTGATGATCTGACAGAAGAGTGTCCCAAGCGTTAACTTTTAACAGCACACATGCCGCTTTTCTATATAGCAAGAAAGAGAATTAGCAAGAACATTAAACATCTATACTGTAAGCTCAACAACATATCACACAGACAACAACAGTTAGCTGACTACGCTATAAGTGCAGAGAACCAAACATTACCACTTCAAATATAAAGGAAAGAAATAATGGGAGTAAAAATCGTGAATTACTGAAAATAAACATCTTGAAAGCGGTGTCTCCTTGTAAGCTGAAAATAAATAAATAAGCCAATACTGTATTTTAATAGAGTATCCTCATACGAGACCAAGTTCCCATAGTGTGCTTTTAGGAGAGGTTACACTGCAGTCTATCATAAGAAAGCTAGGAGGAAGCATGTTTGTAGAATGTAGGAAAACTGGCTGAACGCTGGATTCTTCACATTACTCACATGCGTGCACAGCCAAGATCAATCACCCAAATACAGAACGGAAGAATGACTATTCTTACCGTACATCAATCGTGATGTTGGAGTTTCTCACTGCAGAAGCCTATTTCCTTAATGCAGCTTCGGTCGCTCTTACAGACACACTGTTGTGCCAAGAGGCACACACACACTGCTCACTCTGGGATAAATGCCTGCACGTGTGCTTGGAGCTCAAAGGCATATGAATGCGCACCGTGATTGGTGCAGAGCCTGGCTCGATGCAATGAATTACACACACTCTCCCTGCCGAGCAGACACAGACACACACACACACAGACACACACAGGCGTATACACACGCGCACAAAAGGGGGCTGAAAGGCAACGTCAGAGAGACGCGTGCCGTGATGACCTTGGATTTTCCTGTTTGTCTTCTGCAACAGCGCTCCTTCTCAAGGGGGTAGTGCAGATTTCACATGCAGGCGCACATACAAACACGCCCACCTCACTTCTAATCATTTCTCTCAGTTGCAGAAAAAGAAACTGAAAGAGGAGGGAAAAGAGAATAAGAGAGAAATGTGCACCAGAGGGATAGAAAGGGAGAAGACCTCCCACCCACGCAATCTCCTTTCTCCCTCTCTCCACCCCCTGCCAGCATCACTCTTTTTCCCTCCTCTCTATCATTAATCTTCCTATGCCTCCTGTTTTACTTACTTTCAGTTTTTCCTTCTATGCTATACATTTCCATCCATTTTCTAGGCTGCCATCAAAATGTCTGTCTCTTGTTCTTTCTTCATTTTGTCAGGATTGCAAATAAACTTTTCACCTGTCAGCCACAGTGGCAGGTAGAAACCACAAATACACCAGTTTTTATTCATTATTCAGTTTTTAATCAGTTACCAAAAAATTGCAGAAATGTGTGATTATATAAACCTGTTTACTGGTGGTTGCATTTTTTAAAAAGCTGTACGACTACAAACTGTGAAATACTATCCTTTTCAAGTAAGTCAGTGTCTACTCACTCTCTTACAGGTTTAATTTTTTCTAAAATCATCACCCATAAACATCACGCCAAGCAGCTGGCTCACGTCTCGGATGGCCGTACTTCTCACCTATACAACAATGAATGCACCAACCGCACAGAACTGTCAAATCAATTAATGCAGTTATCTACATTATCCGACAGCCATAACTATGACAAAGATAAAACCTGGTATGATGTTCATATAATTGGCTGTAATGCATGAATTTGCAATAACACCAGAAACCCCCAAGTGCTTTAAATGGATTTTATGTCTCCTCAACCTTTTTAGTTAATTTTAGTTTATCAATAATATGGCATGAATTTTGACCATCAGCATAACAATCGGCTTATTGGAAACATTCACGATAGTACCAGCATAAACTAAGAGCCTTTATAAAGCTTGATTTCGCAATTACCAGAAGTTTTCAGTTGTCAATGACTCAACAAGAAAAGAGTGGGTTACACCTACATCAGGACTGCTTCAGTGAATTAAAGATGGTGATGAATTGTTCTCACTTGGGCGACTAATAAAAACAGCTTCAGACATACAATGGGGTCCAAAAGTCTGAGACCACTTTCCCATTTATGGAAAATGACACTATCGTCTACTGCATTTTAATGCAGCTTGGATCAGGTTGATAGTTAAGATACTACTGAACAGAAACTTGGTCAGGAGAAATTTATCTTTACACTTACTGTTAATTTGTTTTGTTTTTTTTCACTTGGGTTGAATTACAGGGTATCTTTGCTTAAATAATTGGTATCATGCAAAATCAAGCTTTGTTTTCCTTGTTCTTGCATGCCAGCGGTTCTGAACCAACATTCCCTGTAGAACCACACTACATGCCACAGAGAACATTTTATTAATGTAAGATTTTATGAATCAGTCAAGATTAAGGCTGAAAGCAATTAAATATGACCCAGACTAAAAATAAACGAGACTTCCCTTTAATTAGACTGATCAACAGCAACCTGTGCTAAATACCGAACACAGCCAGTGTTCCTTTCAATGGTTGTCTACTCCAATGGTCCAGTGCAAGTATCCTCAACAAACTATTAAATAAGGTCAATCAGCTCCAACTTAAAACAAGACAGGAGGCAGTTCACAGCATGTTAGAACCCAAATATCAGTTTCCATTTGCAGCATGACAAATTTGTGTCAGATATCATGGAACCATATGTAGGAAAGCAACTTTTGAAAATCCTCTGTTCTTATGACTTAGAAACAGAGAAGCCAGAGAGAGAACAGAGGAGCTGGTGTTATCACTTACCCTTGCCAACGCGATGGTCCAGAAGGGTACGACAGTCCAGTGCCAGCCTCTGAGAGGCCGGGACATCAGGCGCAGGCAAGGGCATGGCAGGCAAACAAACACACAACAGCTCACAAGCACACACACACACACACACACACTCAGAGACACACTACTCCTTTCACAGGCACAAAAAACTCCAAACCAAAGCCAAAAATGGACATGCAACACTGCAAGCTAAAGACTAAAAATCTCTAATTATTCAGCTGTAATTCTTTAAAAAAAAGCCCTTATCTATCAATACTCACAAAACCAACCACCTTCAGTAACATAACTGCTTGACAGATGAGCTAAATGCAAAACTGTACTCACATGCACCCGCAACTGCCCAGCTTCACTGCAATAAAACAATACACACATGCACACATTTGCATACACTCATCCTCAGTGAAGCTTCAACAGAACAGCCAGCTCAAACTTCTGTGTAAAGTTGATACCAGAACAAACTCACAAATTCACTAGGAGTCCCTGCTGAAAACCAACTTGTATGTCCCTGTCTTGAGGCTTCTTAGTAATTTCGTTAGAACACCGGCAGGTTGACCGTATTAATGAAAGAGATTAGCGATTAGTCCTTCAATAGCAGCTCTGCTCTCTGTGTGCGCCTCTCTCATTAATAAACATCTCACTGACACAATGGGCCTCACTATCCACCAGAAGTCTCTCTCTGGGCGAGAGACACAGGGAGACACAGATAGGAGGGTGGAGAGAAGCAGGGAAAGAGGGGAACCGTGGGACAGCAATTCAGTCAGTGGGCTTGAGGTTCAAGGAATGTAGCCATCAGTGGATACCAGCACTGGCAAAATGTCTGGTGAGTGATTTCTTTGCAAATTCACACACTTGGCTGCACAACAGACACATGACATACATGTACTGTACATACACACCTGGAACACTCATGCAAAGTTTCTCTCACAAAATAATTTCCGTCAACACTGATTAATTGTGGATTTGATTAAGCAGTTCATATAACTAGCTATAATGCGCTCAGCTGAGCAAGTTTTCTACACTGCTCCACATTCAACTTTTGGGGGGTTATTATTACGTCAACAAGCAGTGCTGCAGAAGGTGTATGATAGTTGGGTGTTACTCACCTGTCATGTTGGATGCTAGTCACAAGGCGGCGTTGCTCTTCCAGGCTCACAGTGGCAGGGAGATGGGCGGCACTTTGGCCCAGAACTGAGTTTCCACTGGCGCTTCGAAAATCAGGAAAACCGCTGGATTGTCTTTGGCCTGTGGAAGTTAGTATGCCCAAGTTAGCTATTGTGCTAACAAGTATTGCTATTACTATGGAACATGTTTGAACCTTTCACAATTGGGAAAATACCAACGTTAATGTTTGTCAGGCCAGTGACAAGTGAATGTTTATATTTATCATCTTATCACATTATCACAGCTGTCAGTAAATTAAGTTAACGTTAGCAATGCTAACCGTCACAGGTTTTCATTTAACTTTGTTTTCTCATGATAAGAGTTTTTCTTGATTTCGACGAGGTTTAGACTTAAACTTACGCTTGATCAAATTACACTAGGCTAACCGATATTATTGAAATGTAGACATCGTGGCGTTAAGCTATCATTCGTCTATGCTACTAATTTTCTAACGGTAGCTAACTGCTTGACTTGCTTAGCTCCTGGCTACGCTTATCTGAACAACAATAATCACTGTCAGCACCTTTTACTTACCATGAAATGAACAAAATGAAAATCCTTAAAATGTCTGGCATACGGGCAGTGAACCTCGGCCACCTTTACTAAACTTCAGCTATACCAGGACACCACACATTTAGTTACAATTCCTCCACCTCCCAGCTGTTACTGGCTAGCTGTATATGTATGACAGCTTACTGGACAGTTAGCTTTAGTCATGTTTGAACGCATACAGACCAGACCAGATCAGACACACACACACACACACACACACACACACTCACGGTACCGGTTTTCTGTCTTTACATTTTGTTTACTTGATAAATATTGAATAGATAAACAAAATATCAGATAAACGTAACTGGTAGGTAAGATGTTTGACAAATTAAATGTTGTAATATTACAGCATTATGAGTGAATTATGATAATGTATTTTTTTTAATGTTGCTATGATACCATGTGGGTTCTGTAACTCTTAAGTAGGTACTCACCTCATTACAGCTGAGCTGAAATACAGCAATTGTGGTTGTGAAAATCTAAAAAACATTGATAGTAATATGTACATTTATGTGATATACATTAGCCACCAATTTCCATTTCATAATGATGTTTCCAAAGCATTGTTAATTGTTATATTATTATATGTTATATTGCTTTCACAGGAGTAACATCACCACTTGGTTAATGGTTACTTTTCCACTCCCTGTCTAACTCCACTTGAAGACATGCTTTCCCATGAATCAGCAGATGCAAAATCTAGTTTATTGAAAGACTGCAATTTCCTCTCAATTCATATAAACCCAGTTCCTATGTCCTATTTTTGCAGAAAGGGAAACAGAGATAACTATGCAGACCTCTACCAGCATCTCCAGTTTGTTCAGTGATTCAAGAATGAATGAAAATTGATACCTAAAACTAAATTCCAATTCACTATGATTATTATGATTATTAGGCTACAATAGAGGGTATCCACAATAAAAACAAATATGCACTCTGTAGACTGTATAGTTCTATAGATGAGGAAGGGACATCCTTTTTTCCAGCTGGTGACAGCAGTGAGTCAGAAGGAATTTAACTTTTTTTAAATTTTTTCTTAAGACAAAGTCTGTAAATTTTAGAGATTATTATCTTCCCTCAAAACTGTTTCATTGTAAATTTAACATAACCTAAACCTGAGCATTTTGAAGGACAGTACATCATAATTGGTGGACATGATGTGTCACATTACCCACCACCTTTTTTGAAGACTAAACTTTGTGCTTCTCAGTGGATCACTTTGCACACTAAGGCATTTACTTCCCAGGGTCCCTTAACCCCACTAAACCATGAGACCCATGAGTCTTTTATGTTGCAGTATTGTTGTCCTCCAATGTCTAATGCTGCCAGCATGTCTGTAACTGTTCAGAAGACAGTGTGTGACCCTTTTTGAATGGGATAGCACCACCTACAGTAGGAGAGCTATGCTGAGCTAATGATGCCTAAGATAAAGCTCATCTTGTCATCTCAATATAAAATTGGAACCGCAAGTAGCTGTATATAGTGCAAGCGTAGAAATGTGAACCTCATGAAGGCTACCAAGTAAGGGTCGTTTCATGGATGGTTTGCTGAACAGGCCAACTGGGCTCAGGTCTACAGAGTCTGGGTGCCCCCAAGCCAGGGTCTCTGTGTGATGTGATTGGTATTAATATTTCTTGACAGTCAGGCTAAGAGCACTGTCAAAATCCTATTGTCATAATATTAAAGCCAGTTTGCACCTCCAAAAGAAGCATTTATTGCTGCAGGAGAGAAAGGACCTTTTGGCCAAGTGCTGCAATCAACCTGGTATATGGCCATATGGAGGGACTGTACACAGAAGTCCAATATCTTATAGTCTTTCAATGGTTAGTTGAAAATTTGTACTTTTTTTGATGCAACATATTGTTTTCATTGGTGAGAAATAGCAGAGTGACATGATGAAAGTGTTTCAAAACTGTTTCTACTTTTTCTACTTCTTTGTCTTTTTTTCTACTTTGCCCAAAGTGCCCTGTACATGTCGTCAGTTCGAAGAGCTTTGTGCAACTGCCAACAAAAGCCAGTGTGCACTCACAGTCCAACTATAGTCTTACGCCACACACACATGCTTACACAGAGCATTTGTGATACACACAGACAGACAAATGGATCTCTGTGTCCGGCATAAGTGAAATGTTTGGCAAGCACGTAGGCTGTAGGGTCAGTGTTGTTGCTGATTTGGCTCAAGTACATATGAGAATCAGCTGATTAGTAGACAGCCAAAGCAGTTAACCTTAATACTAATTAGCTTCTGGGGTTTTGCCCTGAGTGGACTAAACCATCCTAACTCTTCCTTCAGGTGGACACAAGTTCACAGACACTCCAAATTTAGTCACTAAATAAAATTACAGATTAATGAACACTCATGTAATTCTCTTCCTGATTTACTCATTCTCCTTTATTGTCACTAGTAACAGTGACAGCTGATTAAACATATTCAAAGGAGCTTTGTTGCATACTTGACAAGTGCCAGTGAGCTATGCTGATGTGGTAGTAGTTATAGTAGAACTAATTGCCTTAGACCTGGCGGCTATTTTTAGACGTCCAGTCATCAGCAAGAAAGGTCTGAGCTATGCAGTCGATGGGACAGATGGGAACTCATTAGATCAGTCTAAGGGGCTTTATGCGTTGCCTGGACACAATTAGAAAAGCAAGACTCAAAAACTTTAACCAGCTTACAACCATAGGGACCACAGGGCTGCTCATGCTGTCAACCCAATAAGTCATCATCAATTCTGAGGTCTGCTTCACTACACCTGTTGTTCTTGCTGTTCTTGTGTTGGTCTGTGTAATTCCTTCTCCTGTTACTTTAACCTGTTGATGCACTGTACAATTCATCTTGATGTTGTGCATATTTCATGTTTAAAACAGCAAATAAAAATGTATAATCTATTAATGTGCAAATTCTTAACAAAAAGCTCATATTGTGATGAATAACTTAAGTTAGAATAACCAGCATCTCAGTGTGCCAGCAAATGTCAAGACAATTGTATGGCACATCATGCTAATAAATTACAATATAATAATATTTAACAAAGCTGCTAACTTATCAGGGCACTTATGTAAACTGCTTATAGAATAGCCTTTGCTTTGCATAACATTAACCAGCCTGACATTCCTAATACAACCACACAAAATAAAGACACTATATGGATACAAAGAATTGTATCGCTGTATCACTGTTTTAAAGTGAATAAGAAGAACCTATAGATCTATGCTAACCTTTCAGTCAATTAATCAGTCAGCCAGTCACTGGATCTTTCAGGCTGTCTACACGTAAAAATGTCTAGCCTTGACAAATATTCTTCACAGAGAAGGAAAAAAAAGTTGCTGCATTGAATTTTTTTTAGACTGAGTGTGTATGTATTAAATGTTGTCTTCTGCAGCTCAGCGAAGTAATATTAGTAAAAGAAAACTGAAAGCCTAGTTTGTGACCCTCTTTTTATTGCTAGAACATAGAGAGAAATGATTGCCCCATTGGACTATAGTTGTGTTATGCATGGTTTGAATTTATGGAAAATAACATTTGAATTGAAAATCAGTGAACCTATCCCTCAGGTGCAATAATTTAAGTTGCCTTCATCAGATTAAAATGCCACTTGTGGTTCTGAATCCAAAAGCTCACACAGTATCTTCCAGTTGTTATCAGTTGCGAACACAGTAAAACATACAAAAATGCATTTATTTTTCAGGAAGGAATCAACAGTTATTGTTGGTCAGATAGATGTGTAATAGCCTAGTAAGCCATCTTAGAATCATGTGAATCAAAGTAAAGGCAGTTTCACTGGGGTCTGTTTGCTGTTGAATCACCTCAGGGTGCTGTTACCAGGTGGGGGAGGGTTCAGCTTCTGTGCTCTCACAGGCAGCCTGGATTTGTAGGCCTTTTAGGTAACATTTTTCGGTGTACACAGCCTGAAAGAAACTCGTCACCCCTGTGTCCCTAATTGCAGATAAACACTCACATAACCAGGAGCATGAAGGCCATGCAGAGCAAGCACTTCTGTTTATTTTTATAATGACAATAGAATGGGATTAGAGTGAATGAAAAAAAGAAAATGTATATTGGATGAAAGAGAGAGCATATGAAAAGAGACTGCTCACAATGCTATTTAATTCAAGTGTCAACCCTGCTTTTAAAAGGTTTGGTTGACTTGGCCAGAGGGTGAGAGCACTGCATTTAACTTGGAGCCAATGACCTCAGCTTTGCAGGTCAGTGAGAGTGGCTGCTGACTAACTAATCCTCTTTGCACTCCTCACTCCTGCAGGTCTGATTTGTGGCAGTTGTTGTCTTCATTTCAAAACAGTCCAGGTGGTGGCCTACAACCCTGCCAGAAGGACTCCACACACTTTGGCTGGACCTTCTCCTCATCGGTTTTGGATTCTGCTTAACAGCGGGGACTACTACTTTCATTTTCCCATTTATGGATTATACCGTCATTTTCAGATTCATGTACAATTCCTGTGCAACAGAATCAGCAAAAATGGAGTATGACAAACTGGCTGAATATGTCCTATGGCAAAAGCTGGCCATGAGGAGTGGGTACACAATATGTAAAACAATACAGGTCAGTTTTATATCTTCAATTTCTTTTCTTTTTTTCACACAGTAAGTACATATGGTATGCTTGTATTAAAATGCAATAAATAAGTCTGTATTCTATTTTTAGTGTTATAACTGGAGGCAAGCCTGGCACAGTTGAATAACAAGTGATCCTTCCACAGCAGAGAAACTAATGCTCGCTGTGTGATTAAAAAGTCAATACAGATGTTGCCATAATATACCATAAATTCACAGGATGAATATTTTTCATCTAACATAGTGGCCGGTCTAATTAAAAGCGCAACTCTTTTAATATGAATCGTTCTATCATATTCAGTCTGTGCAGTGTGGATACACGATCTTGATGAGAATCAGACAGCTGACAGTGGACTGAGTGAGTGGGTGGGACTGAAGCATCTAGAGCCAGAAGGACCTGGAGGAGTTTAACTCTAGGCATTAACCAGCTCAGGACTAAATCTGGCCACCAGATAATTCGTTGGAAAGCTTCCTTTCTTCTCACACACTCTGTGCCAACACGTGAAGCCTAGCAAGTGGCTCTTTTCAACATGCTGAATGTGTGTAGCATTGTCAGCTCTGTGCACATACATCACCATTTTTAAAAGATTGTAAGCTTAAGACATACAGTTTTCTTGGAAGGTGTAACCATATTTATTTGGACACATGTGCTGGTCCAATGTATAGAACATAAAGCACTTGGCGACAGCGAACCTGATCAGAGACAGGCACATGATGGGCAGCCATCTGCCTCGACTGGTTGGGTTGAAAGAGAGAGAGAGAGAGAGAGAGAGAGAGAGAGCAGTACAAAAGAGAAGAAGAAAGTTTACAATAATCATGTTGACAGAACAACATACACTATACCCTACTTTTTATATTGGGTTTTACAGATTTTTTACTGGTTTTACTGATACTGAGACTGAGGCCGACCCTTTGGTGGCAGAATGGTAACAGATACGCAGCCTGAAATAATAAAAGAATGAGGTGCTAACTGAAAGTTAAGACGCAAAGATGAGTTTTAAGTTTGGATTTGAAGGCCTCAACAGAGTTATAACACCTGATGTCAGCAGGGAGGTTGTTCCAGAGGAAGGGGACCTGATAGGAAAGGGCTCTGAACACAGACAGGAGCCCTGTATTCTGAGGGTGAAGAGTATGGGATGGAATATAAAGTTTAAGGAGATCAGGCAGATATGAGAAGTCAAGCTCATTTAGGATTCTGTATGTCATTAAAAGCACCTTTTTCAGATCTAAATTTCACTGACACCACTACCTTTTTCTCCTCTTTTACTTCCTGCAATACCATTGTTCCCACTGTAGGCAGCCACCTCCTCCTAATCTGGGACAAGCATCTAGGATCAGCTGAGGTCGTCACTATGGTGACCTTTGCTGAGACGACACAGGTCTCCCCTATGGAGCTGCGTGAGCCGCCCTGCCTGACTGCGACCCTGTCCCCTGGGCTGCGACGGAAAAAGATGCTGTGGCAGAATGCTGTAAAACACATCATGATCCAGCAGGAGCTCAGCGCCCAGGTGACTGGCCATCCCACAGACATCAGTGGATTTGTTGCATCCAGATGGAACTGTTGTTTGTGCTGTTTTGTTTTCTATTGTTTTGTACATATTCCTGTACAAGATTATAAGGACGATGTGTACTAAAACAGACATAGTATCCACTGAACCTCTGACTCATGTTACACAAACCAAGGAAAATTTTGCTAAACTGAAACCCATGATTGGTATGTCTGCATGGACAGCATGAACATTAGTTATTGGGCTAAAGCAGTCTAGACTATCCATGCAGTAATGAAATGTGGTAATTAAATGTAACTTGAATGTAAAGGGTCACAAGACACAAATAACAAAAAATGTATTTTGTCACTTACAGGGTAGCTTACAGATAGTTTGGGATTTTGGTTTTCACACAATGCAAATAAAATTTGTTAATGCTGTGACCACCACAATTGAAATTCTATTCGCTTCAACTGCAAAATAGTGGTGGCCAAAATCAAACAGATAAATAGGTATAAATATCATTAAAACTAAAACTATCTGCATGGGTCAAACTTGGGGAAGTGAGAAAACAATGTATGATTTTTGTAATTCTGGTGAAGCAACCCTTTAAAGGGTCTTAGATCAGTTTCCAAAAACACAAGCCAGTGATGATTATGAAGAACTGTTTACCACATACACGTTTGCTTTCCATCATAAAGTCATTACTATACCATTAAAGTGGTCACTTTTTAAGAGAATAGTATGGATGTTTGGCATCATACCATTCCTTGCAAAGAACACAAAGTGTCTTTTACAGTAAACACATCTGTTTTTCTGTTGCATTATGACAGGTTGGTGTGGAACCAGCACGCAAAATCTTTGTGACGGACACCTACATGGAGGAGATCAACAGACAAATCCGCAACAAGGCCTCACGAGGGGTCACGAAACGCCGCTCCTCCACAATCAGAGTCCACCCTACCCAGGCCCGCAGTTCCACCAGCACACGCAGCAGCATTGGAGGTTCTTTTAACGACTATGCCAGCGATGCAGATTTCTTTGTGCACTGGGGTCACACTATTCGTGGTGTCTGCATACCCACCCTGGGTCACACCTTTAGGTCTTGTGACCTGGAGAAACTCTACCAGCAACACTCCTCTCACCAAAGACGCAACTCCTTAGCTATCACAAATGTAATCGATGCTGTGGCCAAGCTACATGTGTTGGTTCTGTACCTCGCACTGGCCCCAGAAACAGTCACGGACACTGTGCGTGGCTGCCTGACGGGCGTTTTCATGGTCTTAGCTATAGCATTGTGCCTCGTGGTGTTAACCTGCAAAGACTCCATGTCCCCGCGGTGGCTCCACTATGCTGGCCTAGCTAGCTGGCTGTCACAGACCATGCAGGTGTTGGGAGGACTGGTATATGGACTAGAAAAGGACCCGTCATGGTACGTTTTGTTCACATTGTTCGCCACATACACGCTGCTGCCGTTACCTCTGCTGTGGGCCATGTGCGCCGGCTCCTTAACCTCAGTACTGCACCTTCTGGTGGAGATATTGCGCTACTACAATGATGCAGTGCTTTTGAAAAAGGTCAGGAAATGCTGATATATTAAACCTTAATAACATTCTCCCCCTAGAGTGATATTACAAAAGGTTATGTCTGAAATTTCTTTTTATTATTCAATATCAAACTAAAAATGCTGCTTTATTGGATACAGTCCTTCAAGATATTACTCACGTGTAAAACCATACTATAAATGTTTCATCATACATTAAGATTCCACTAAAATGAGTTACATTCCTCTTCCAGATAAAGTAATTTGCCTGCATAGCACCGTGTTTAAAATTGTGTAAAATACTGGCTGAAGATGTAAAATCCCCTTTTTTCTTTGCCTATTTCTGTTTCTGCTGTGCATTTCCCATTTCCAATCACTGTTTTGAAATGAACCTGCTGATTCTACAGATCAAGACATGGTTTATACATGAATTGGATTTGCTACTGGCATTACTTCAAGCCCATTATTTGACTTAGAGAGTTTATGTTGGTTTATAAACTGTAAAAGCCCACTGAGACATTATATGTGATATTCCTCTGTACAAATAACTTCAAATGCTTTACCTCTTATGTCCAGATATTGTGCACAGGCCTACTATACATGCGACATTTCCCTTTGATGCCCCCCTAGTTGTATAAAAGCAGAACCCACTCCCTATTTCTAATCATATGCTTTTAGCTCACATGTTCCCAGTTAAATAAAGTGAATAAATGTTTATTTTCCCTTGGATGCAGGTGTTTGCCAAAGGGCTGCTGTACCTGGGTATGAACACAGCTGGCTTGTTCATCCACTACCTGACAGACCACGTTCAGAGACAGGTGTTCCTGGAGACACGACGCTGTATTGAGGGTCGCCTCAAACTAGAGCAAGAGAACCAGAGACAGGTAGTATGAGGGCTGACATTGTGCTATAGGTTAGACTTGGAGATATAGAGACATACTGTATTATGACCACTGTAGACTGTTGTCACTTTGTAGATGGAAGGATAAATGCCTCTCAAATTCTCTTGTGAAGTTTGTGTAAATAGGCATTATGCTGGTTAAACCATTCACGTCACTTTGGGATAATGTCGGCACACAGGAGCGTCTGGTGCTGTCAATCCTGCCTCGCTTTGTTGCCTTGGAGATGATTGCTGACATGAGCTCTTTGGAAGATGAACTCAATCCTCAGGAGTTTCACAAGATCTATATCCACCAGTACAAAGACGTCAGGTACACACTTACACACACATAATAGTATTAACCAGGCTTATATATATTATGTTATATTAGAGGATTTTAAGAAAATAAGTTTATCATAGGTGTTGCCTTTTTCAAATTGAAAATTCATTGATTTACAATTAGTTGTGCATGTGTTGACTGGAAACTTGAGAACATTTTGAATGTGACATGCAGTATAATTCTTTATTTCACAGTTCTTTCTCTGTCTCTCCTCTCTGCAGCATCCTTTTTGCAGACATCAAGGGTTTCACTCTACTGTCCATGAACCTGTCGTCACAGGATCTGGTTCGAACCCTCAATAAGCTCTTTGGACGCTTTGACCGACTGGCAGAGGTTAAACCCTGAGTACTTTTTTATTTTGACATATTTTTACATAGCGGATAATACATTTTTGACACCCTCCTTCTAATTTCCCTGGTATATTCTCTCATGACAGGAGCACCACTGCCTGCGAATAAAGTTACTGGGAGACTGTTACTACTGTGTGTCAGGGGTCCCTGAGCCACAGCAAGCCCATGCCCGTCACTGCGTTGAGATGGGCCTGGCTATGATCAACACTATACGGTGAGTTTTAACTCACTGGAGTCACACCCCACTAATTTCTGACTAGAACTGTCAAAGTTGACACAGAAAGAGACATTCAAACAATATTTCTATTGTATGGTCACTTGACTTCTCACCAACACCAGGTGCGTACGGAAGCAGTTAAACTTTGACCTGGACATGAGGATCGGGATCCACACAGGATCCGTCTTATGTGGGGTGCTCGGGCTGCAGAAATGGCAGTTTGATGTCTGGTCCTGGGACGTGGGCATCGCCAACATGCTGGAGGCCGGGGGAATACCAGGGTTAGTGTCTCTGCTGGTACCTGCCGAGTAATTAATTTCCTCATGTTGTGATTGGAGAGCATTTCGTTGTACAGCACCAATAATTTATTCTGCCTCTCTTTTCTTTCCTCCAGCCGCATCCACATCTCAAGGGCGACTTTGGACAGTCTACAGGGCACCTACAAGACAGAGGATGGTCATGGCCGTGACAGGAACGAGTTTCTAAGGAGACACAGCATCGACACTTTCCTCATCTGCCCTCAGGAGGAAAGGAACAATGTTGACCACACTGAGCCCCCCAAAGTTCAGAAAACAAATCGGACTTGGAACCCTGAGATACCTTTCGGGAACGTCATTGACATGAACAGTGTAGGTGCAGGGATACAAAATATTATTGGGTTCATGGTCTTAAGGTTTTGATCCAAATCCAGTGTATCCAATCAATCTGACGCCGTTCATATGCTTTCCTTGTGCTTTAGATCCTGGCCTCCTTTACAAACGGTTCGCTTCCCAACATCTGGCAGTCCACCTCCAAAGAGATCAACAAACGCATCAAACATGCTATAGAGGTTCGAAGCAGTGAGCGAATGCACAAGGAGCACATCACACCACTGACCCTGGTGTTCAAGGACACACACATTGAGGACAAGGTACGCAGCTATAGGGGCAGGCTAGGAAGGTGTTGGCAAGGGGGAAGGTTAGGTTAAGGAAGTCATGTGCTTTATGAACAAAAAGGGATGTTTATGAACCAGTACCTGAAATGATGCCGATGTTTCTTTGCTCTATTTTGGTTGGTTCAGTTCTCCCAGATGAGAGACGAAATGTTCAACTCCAACTTGGTCTGTTCATTCATCATGCTCCTCTTTCTCATGGCTGCCCAGGCCCTCATCTCTGCACCCAGGTAGGAAAACACCAATGCTATCCAGTCAAACTTCACACTGTAAGCGCTGCATTTAGTTTAGTTGCATAGGGGTTTATCAAGCCTGAATGAAGCTTTAGTGTTGCCCTACCCTTGTGAGTTGCTCTGAGTTAAAGCATCTGCCAAATGAATAAATGTAAAAGGTACATGAAGGGTTCATATATCCAATTTGTTTAAACGTAAATTCTTAATTGATATATTAAAGGTCAATGATATTTTCACATTGATATTGCCTGGGTGGTTGTTGACATATTCCCTGAATACCAACGAGTGACAAAATCTCAAAATAATGTCATCTTTGACTTCAGTGGATAGCAGGAACGTAATGGGTTGCAGCTTTAAGAAATGATAAATTGTCGATCAAAAACTCCTAGAGAATCTATGTATAAAGAAACTGAACAATAACAAATGTTGTCAGTCATCTTACTGAAAATATCAGCTTTCAATTGCATGCTGTTTGATCATACTACAATTTACTGCACTGCTAGCATTTGATTTTATTTTCACTTTGGTGCCATCTGCTGGTACTTTCAAGAATGACATGCATCACAGTCTCTCTTGGTTCCCAACTCTACCTCTGATTCACATTTTTTCCCCTTTACTCGTGCCCTTAATATTTCCTCTTGTCCTCTTCCCTTGCTCTCTCTCTGCAGGTTGTTCCCAGCCATCCTCCAGTTTTCAGTCTTCCTCCTCGCCTACATGCTGCTGCTGCTGTTGGCCCTGGCTGAAGAGTTCAAGTGGACTCCTCCAGCACTGCAACACTTCTGCTGCTGGATGCATGAAAACAACAGTGCCCGCAACCTCCTTACCCTCACTGCCATCATCATCAACTTTGGCTTGGCCTCTACTGACATGGTGAGAGAAAAACAACGCAGGGTTAGATTTACATACATAAAAAGGTTTAATAAATTGTCTTTCCCCTGCCACATTTTTCTTTCCTTCTTATACTGCTGTGCATTCATGTGTGCCCTGCACCAGAAGAGATTTTCACAAACTGTATGAACATTAAATCCAGATGAAAGAGCAGTCAATCACACTTAACCGTGTGTCCTCCCCTAATTTACATGATCCCTTCTAATGCATATGTATGAAGGAGAGAGTTGCACCTCCCTGCTGACACTTACAGAACACCTCAGATGACAAGCAAACTTTTTTCAAGAACACCAGTCCAAATATGTAACTGACAGAGTAGAGAAGCCCAACCTAGAGCAGTAGAGGTGCTCTAGGTCATTAACAGAAACACCAGCTGATACTCCGTCTTTCAGCCTTTTCTTGGCTTGCTTGAGGTTTTATGTGATTTATATTTGATGTGCTGTGTGCCTGGGTGCAGGTATGGTGTATTTTCACAAACACAGTAGAGGCTGACATGATGGACAGAACCGGCACAGCCTCTCGTCCTCTCACTGTCTGCACCTACCCTGAGGTAAGGACAAGAGTAGTCTATATTTTTAACTTTACAACATATTACGTGAAGAGATTTTACATGATTTCCTGTTTGTTCATCCTAATTTCACAAAAATACATCACAAACATTTAATTTCACACTAAATAATATGTTATCACATTTTCTTGACCAAAAGTTACCTCATCAAATCTGCTTCTTTTTTTTTTTTTAACTTCAAGAAAGTGATGTCATTAAAATGTCCTCATCTTCACTCGCTCTAACTTCTTCTTTACTCCACTGTATCTTCAGATCTTTGTGTTGAGTGGTGTGATCGCCATGGTGACCTGTGCCGTGTTCCTGCGTCTAAACTCTCTGCTCAAGTTGGCGGTCTTGCTGCTGGCGGTGGCTGTATACTCCTACCTCATCCACCTGGCCTTCCTCGCACTCGCACGCCATGACATGCTGCACAGGTCAGTGCAAAACACATGTATACTAAATTTCTTCCTACTGCTCTGCTGTTGTGCTGAACATCTCTTTAGTCACATTTTCCCTTTTTATTTTACATAATCTCTATTAGTCTATATTTTCCACCTCCCTTCATTAACCTCTGTGCAGGTCTCACTATGTCAGGAGGAAAGGAATCTCCATCCTTCTCATGATGATGTTCATTGTTGCTGTCTTCTACAATGGACGACAGGTATTGTTAAACTCTCTGTCTCAAGCCTGCTGCTGTTTAGCTTGGTTTGCTCGTAAATTTTTAAATGTAAGTTTGGCTATTAGTCTCAGTCGGTCATAACTGTTGTCTCAGCAGATGGGTAAAGGAGTGTGTCGCATAAAGGCAGGTGATCTCTGATTGATGCTGAATCTGCCCTTTGTTCTCCAGTGGGAGGCAACTGCCAGGCTGGACTTCCTGTGGCGTCTGCAGGCCCAACAGGAAGTGGAGGACATGAGAGAGTTGCGGGAACACAACGAGTGTTTGCTGCACAACATCCTGCCTGTGCACGTAGCGCGACATTTCCTGGACCGGAGCAAGAATGACGAGGTACCGAAAACACCCCAGAAATCCACCTGTGACTCTGACAATGAGTTCACATGACTTTTCCTATACTTTACTCACTTGCCTTTTGGGACCAACAGCTGACCTCTGACCCTGATAACTAAGTGTTTTTCTGAAAAATTTTTTTTATATATCAGCCAAACAAAGAGGCTTTTAAGAATTCCCCCATCAACTATGTATGACACAATTTTCATTTCAGGAGCTGTACTCCCAGTCCTATGATGAAGTGGGTGTTATGTTTGCCTCCATCGCTGGGTTCAATGAGTACTTTGAGCAGAAAGAGATCAAACATGAAGGAGTGGACTGCCTCCGACTGCTGAACGAGATCATTGCTGGCTTCGATGAGGTGAGTAAAGGACTGAAAATGAAACTGTGACTTGTACAAAATGTTCAGATTATTTATTTAACCATATATTTCACTATATTGTAGGGTAATGGGTCATTTGTAAAAATGGTGTAGGTGTACAGTATATATTCTGGTACTCACTCAGAGCATTTGAAACAGTATTTACCTTCCTGTCGTTCAATCCAGGTCTTGCTGTTGGCAAACGGGATTGCTTCTCATCATTCATCTCTTAATCTTTATCTGTTTCTTCTTACAAGTTGTTGGAGGAGTCGTACTTCTGCTACGTGGAGAAGATCAAGACCATCGGGAGCTGCTACATGGCCGCCTCTGGCTTAGCTCCAGACAGAGAGGTGGGAGATCTTCTTGTACATAGTCTGCATTATTTTTGTTTTGGCTACATTTTGCTCCTCCGTCACTGATAGCAGCTTTACCCACCCCTCTCTCCGTCTAACTATCATTATCATTCTCTCTTTCAGGTGTCCATGGATGAATGGAACCACCTGAGTGAGCTGGTTTTGTTTGCGTTGGCAATGCAGGAGACCTTGAAAGAGATTAATAGGCACACTGCCAAAAACTTTCAGCTGCGTGTGGGTAAGTGGCTGACTGGCACACACACACTCACATAAACAAACTATTGCCGATCATGCGCCATTCTCAAAGACACCTAGTATCATACACCCTCTACTTTCTAATCCTTTTGTCTAAAGTAAATTATTTTCTTTGTTGGACTCAAACAGGCATTGCCCATGGGCCGGTGGTCGCAGGTGTGATCGGTGCCACCAAGCCACAGTATGACATCTGGGGGTCAACGGTGAACCTGGCCAGCCGCATGGACAGCACAGGTGTTAGCGGACGCATCCAGGTACCTGAGGCCACGCGCAGGATCCTGGCAGAATGGGGCTTTGTCCTGGAGCTACGTGGAGAAATATTTGTCAAAGGGGTGAGTAGCAGAAAGATGGCGACTGCTTCTGTACTTCCTGCTGCTAGTGATGATTATATAATACACTTAACTACCATTGACAGTATTACAGCAAAATGAGGAATGGATTTATTTTGCTGGAGAGGCGCGACGTTAAGTCAAACCTAGTACGGTTCATTTAAGTTCCTAAAATGAATGTGGGTCATATGTTGTGATATTGGAGCAAATGTTACCTTTTTCATTAGTGCATCCTTTTTCTTGTTGAGAATTCTTGCTGACAGTTGTCCAGCTGTGGCAGCACTTAATTTCAATCACTTGCATGCCAGCCTTTTTGATTTAACACTAACATGTTCAGTTTAAAACACGCAGGTGTCTCCTGATATTTTTCTCAACTACTTTGGCACGTGCAGACCACGAACACGATGCAAAACAAAAAGATGTGACCAAGTGATGGTCACCAATTAAGCACCAGCTGACAATAACACACTGTAGAGCATTGCTTGATGACAATGGCTGTGTCACAAATTACTACTCATGATAGTGCCCTATTTTTACCCACTAGCATTTTATTTTGAGTGTGTGTAATTTATGTCCTGCCCTCCAAATTCCTTGACATGTCAAAATTTCTGTTGTGAAAAGTCAACTCCATAAATTAAAGCTCCACCTACTATAACTTCAGCCTGAGAGAAGGTCTGATCAGTCAGATAAGGTGAAAACACCTGTGCTGGGGATCAGGAGTGGACAGCTTAAAATAGGCCTTGACACAAGTAAAGGCAATTACTCATTAGCACAAGTGTAGAAATAAACCCCACTTAGCATTAGGGAACAACTTAAATAAGAAGGGCACCTACTGGTGAAGGGAAACAACAGACAGATCAAGTAAAAGCCAACATGCTGCCTGATTTGCATTTCTGTTCGGTGTGCAACTACTGTTGTCATTGCAGGTGAGTGAGCGTCAGGGGAAAGTACGCACATATTTCATCAGCACCATGCGCAGTAAGACGACCAACACCGCAACAGATGGCCGCATGAGGGGGCGGACAGCAGGACGCCTGACGCTGGCAGGAGTGGTGTTTGGTCTCGTCCAGGCCAGACACAAGGAAAAGATGAGGGAGACCAACGGGGGGTTCAGCCTGACTCCCTGCGCCCTGCAATGCGGAGGGGACTGTTAGGGTCAGATGACTGCAGGTAGACGAGGACACAGTCCAGCCATATTGTTTCTACTGGTTTACACTTTTGTTATTCTTATTTCATACCTTGCCATAACAAAATTAGCTGCACACTGGTCATAGGATCCAGTTTCCCCCCCACAACTGTGTCCTCCTCAGCTTTCCTGTCATCTCAAAAAGAAATGATAAAGGTTTTGGACAGTATTGTGCTTAATCCACACATACTGGAACTCATTCATGGTCAAACGCCTGGAGTCCTGAAGCTGAGATTTAATCATTGAACAATAGAGCGGTGTGTTCTGACTGTAATACCAGCCTCTCTTACAGTAAGTCTAGTATCTTGAGAGCATTGCTTTCTGTTTTTTTATTGCCATATCTACACATTGTGAGCACTGTTTTCAGTTTTTAAGTTCATTTTGTACAAAGCTAACAAAGGCCAACATGTCTTTTTTTTTTTCTTTTTTTTTTTGCTGTTATGATACTCCAACAAGTCCTCTGACCTCTACGCCAAAACGAAGAATACCTCAAAACAACCACCTCAACCTTTCATAGACTACCAATGGCCTATACAATACTAACTAGTGTTCTACTGTCTTATCATGCATCATTGTTACAATTTTCCAGTACAGTTCATGTTGTGAGTTTGTGCATTATTTCTCTGTTGTCCAAAAATTTTCTAAATATCTCTTTCAGAGGGACTTGATTTCAATAAACAGACAGTAATGCAGTTAAGTTTAATATTTTACCTCCATTTTACGTCAATTCTTTCCATAGCTTCCGCTGAGAAGGTATTTTTCATCAGTTTTCATGCCACTGTCAATATTGCTCTGGATTTCTGAGATCTGAACATCTCAACATGACAAATCACACCATAGCCAATTCAGTTTTGCCTTGGTACACTGTGATTACCCTCACTTCAGTTACTTTGCTACAGTTATGTTTCCATCATAGTTACCTCAATGCCAAAAACACTACTCAGGTCACTTTTGCAGGATGGTATAATACTTTTTACTGTAGGCCTGAATCATATTGATGCTGTCATATGAAAACCACATGAATCTGAATTGAGTTTCTTTATGTTTTAAAAGTGAATATTGAATTCCTCTATGGGATTTCCAGAGGACTTACTCAGTTACTGGTAATATCAATTACATATTTTTAAAATGTAAGTAAACCTAAAGGGTATCGTTGAAAATTCATGAACCCTTCAAAATGTAAATAAAAGTAACCAAAAGTCTTTATCAATGTATGTAATATACTGGACTGGGCCTTTAAAAGAAGGCTCTGTTTTCTTAAAGTTTGGTCATTCTGGAAATCTAATCTGTAACAGTCAAATTGTAACATTTTGTTATTCATTTTTCTTAGGTATATTATGTTTATTTTTTAATATTTTATACAAAAACATTTAATAGCAAACAATTTCTGCTAATAAAACCAGTAACAACCATCAAACTGTTTTATTTCATTTTAATTGTGCATATGCTTAGTTCTGATGCTTTGTGATTTATTAGTGTTGAACCCGACTCACCCTTTTTTGTCCATGAGCAGGGAACAGACCACATGTATAATAATGATAACACCTGTGACTGGTTCTGTCACCATGATGTTTTATTATATAATTCTTAATTGTAGCTGGGCAAGTTCTGTGTCTTTTTGGTGTCTTTGATGTAAAGTAAGGGCGTAGGTTCTTTACCTGTTAGTGCCTCTGCTAAAACAGGTGTCAGGTAAACAAAGTTTCCAGCTGCACCAACAGAACAGCAGGATGATTTTCACTGCATCAAGAACAGTCAAGCAGATCAGCCCTGTGACCTGAAGCCTGCATGGTCTCTTCACACTTTAGATGAATGAGGCAACAGAGGCACAGCCATGTGTCAGGGGTGTTTGCTTGAATGAACATATCCAGCCAGTACCTGAGGAAATATATGTAGCCTAGAAATACACAGATTAAAAAAAGGTCAAGTGTGAAATGTTTTTTTTCTTTGATGGACACAGGGAGGGTCAGGCTTTAACAGAACAAGCATATTTATTATGAGGGAGGATATGGGTATTTTTGTTGTTGTTGTTTCCTTTTTTTTTTTTTACCATAAACTGATTTTCCTCTCCTTATGAGACGAGTTTTCTTAACTCGATTATTTCTGGCTACAAGTAGCGCGGGTGTTCTACGGTCAGCTCACTGATCGTCTAGTATGAAAGATGTCTCACTCTACAGTTGAAAATTTGGTTTGTCTTGGGCATTTATCTCTATGCTTTAGTTTTTTTTTAATAGGTTTTAGAGGAATACACAGACATAAACACAAACACTGCACAAATCAACTCGTCTGGTGTCTAATAGTCCTTATACAGTAAGCCAGCTTTAAAGAACTTGATACGTAGATAGAATGTGAATTTGTTTCCACCTCCAGGACCTAGACAGAGTTTTAGAAATACTGAGGTCATACATCTGAAAAAGTAACATAAAGAATTATTGGACTTGGCTCAAAAAAGGAAAGAAATAAAGAAAACGTGCTCAGTTGTGTAAAACTTGTCTTTCAGTGTCTCATTGGCAGGATATGGGTGGGGGTGAGGGTGGGGGGGTATGAAATATCAGAATCAGCCATCAAAAACATCTATGTTCACTCAAAAGCAGAATGTTGTTCATGTAGACTGGTACTTTATATGTATATATAGACTTTTGCTGAAAAGAGCTGCCAAAGCTTTTCGGGGACGTGTTGGTGTCAGGAAATATCGACAGAGTGAGACCTCTTCTGTTGTGGCACCCTCCATGTAGGCACGCGGGCTTCGCCTCGCCTCTGTGCCTGTGCATTGATTGTTGTGGCTTCTTCTCATCCAGAGAAAGTTCGCCTCCCAGCCCGGTCGTTTAATTTTGCTTTCATATTAAAGAACGATGGCAGATTCCCAGGAGGACAAGCTGTACAAGGCGGAATATGCCAAAAGCGGCCGTGCATCGTGCAAGAAATGCAAAGAAAACATAGCTAAAGACTCGCTGAGAATGGCCATCATGGTGCAGGTAACGTAGCGACGACTGGAGACACTTTATGTGCAGAAACCTGCTCCGTTAGCTGCCTCACTACCACGGTGTTGCTGTTGATATTCGGTTTGTTATTCTATGGGTACAGTGAGTATTAGTCAGCTAACCGGAGAATGAGAATATGTAGTTTATAGTGTGGTTTCACTTCAGTAGGTTAGGCCCTCGTTAGCATTTAAATGGCTGACATTGTCTATTGAATTTTGTTCACAAAGAGCCACCGAGCCTTTCATTCGGCTTATCGCAGTAGTGCATCCTGCTGTTCAGTAAAGGTTTACTCATACATTCATGATGCAGCTTGAGGTTAACATTAAGTTCGGGGCTGGTTTAAATATCTGCGTCCATTTGGATAGACAAAACCGCAACAGAAACAATTCCGGTCTGAAAAAGCTGCTGCTCCCCTACAGGGAATTAATCAACCAAGAAGCTAATGTGAAGAAACCTCCAATGTCATTCTCCTAATTCATGGCCTGTGGAGCAGCTCCAGATATTCAATCACTGGACTTCAGTCGGACTCAATCAGTTTGTTTAGTCAGTCTGCGGTGAAGTCAGCACTGGCACAGGACACTTTCTTCACTGTAGTATTTATTTCATTTTAATGAATGTCCATATTTAAATAAACATTTTTTGTCCAGTTTATAGAGAATCTATATTTGTACTGTAGATAAATAGGAATCAAATGATATGTCTCACGTTTTTTAATTTTGGAAGTATTCCTCACTCTTTCTCATCGCGATAGTTGATGTTTTCTATTTGCCCACCCCACCATGGAAATATGATAAATGGTACAATGACATCACATAATGAACAAAGAACTACAAAATAGATTTAGCCTTAAGTCACACCTAACTCTGCTGTATATCTAGACTATCTATTTGACTTTTGGTAAATTCTTCCTCTTAAGGTTCTACACCATAGAGACAATATGATAATAATTTAGGACCATCTTTCCTCATTCATAAGGAACAATTTACTCTGCTCTGAGCATCACAAATATTATGTGTAATCTGTTTTATAAAATGAGAAATAAATGAATCATACTTAATAAAGATTTTAACTCACAAGTCCAGGAAGATATTTTCTAGTGAGCCGCTATTAAGACATGTTCCACAGCAGGTGTTTTTCATCTCATATCCTCTCCAGTTCACTGTAAACATACTGAATGAATTAAACATGTCCTGTTTGTTCTTTGTCCTCCAGTCCCCCATGTTTGACGGGAAGGTCCCCCACTGGCACCACTTCTCTTGCTTCTGGCAGCGAGCAGCAGCTCAGTCCACTGGAGACATTGCTGGGTACTCTGACCTCCGCTGGGAAGACCAAGAGAAGGTCAAAAAGGCCATTGAAAGTGGTGGAGCTGCAGGAGGTCAGTAAAAGTATTGGTAAAATGACATAACGCCACACCCAGTGATGTACACAGACTCCTTATTGTCCCAGTGTGCCTGCATGGAGATGGTCAAGCAAATTAATTAGCTTAACGTCATGCTTACAGAGAGGCAGTATGCACCCTTATTGAATGAGGGGGTAAAAGTTTCCTATTAAACAGGTATAGAGATGGGCATCACCATACATCCCTGCAGCGCAGCAAACAGTGAATAAATTCTCCTGTAGCACTGTAAAAATCACTGAGATATGAGGAAAGAATTGCTGTCTGCTCAGGTGTGAACATTTATAGCCGTTATTTATTACTTTTATCAGTAAGAAAAAAAAACAGGTTCATAGAAAATACATTCGGCATCTCTAGAAGAATATATTAGAGAGGTCTGAAATAAATTTGCTTCCTGGTTATCAAAGTTTAGTGCTGTGTGTATGAGATATTTATGCATGTACTGCCAGTGACATTTCTGTAATCTAGTGAATATTATTTATTCAAAGAATTTTTTCACATATATAATTTTTCATTACTTGATTACACTGCATGATTTGAAAGTGAAAATTGCATAACTTTGTTCTTGTAGGGAAAGGGGACCAGAAGGGTGGC